GTAATAAGAAGAAGGGAGAGCTGTTAACTCAAAACCAGTTTATTTAAACAGAAATAGTAATCTGGGGGTCAAAGAAGGGATCAGGGTTTGCTAAAATATGAGTTATAATCAATATGGACATGTAATATTCCCAAAACTGTTTTTAACCTGGCTATATTTGCCAAACTGTAAATGCCAAAATAAAATTGTAAAAATTGTCAGAAAAATTAACATTTATTTAAAAAACTGTATAACGATGTACTTTTTGCAACCCTTTAGTGCCTAAAAGCCATTCAGAATGTTTGAAATGGTCCACACCATCAGGTTGAAAAATTATAAGAATTAGAATATTTGAGTTCGTGGCAAAGAATTATGAAAAAAAAACATTCAATTCAACGAATATTTTTGCATTACCTCGCGCAATTTCTTCGCAACAATACTCAATGTTTTTATAACATTGTTGGTGTAATATTCTGCTAAATTTGCCAGATTTTTTGCGATATAAAATCTTTTACAAATATATCTTCAAACACACAAAATTCTTGACTTTACCCATCTCCTGGACAGGAAACAGTAAGTTTTAAAAAATATGTTGGGGGGTTATTCAATAAATTTTAAAAATAGCTAATAACATTCACATTTTCTTTACTTACTAAGCAAAAGGCAATGGAGATTTAGGCTAAAACTGATGATAATTCTGGGCCAAAATACAAAAAGTTTGCGAATTTCATAATATTTTTTGCGCATTTTCAAATTTCTACAAAAATAAAACTTTTAAACACAAATTTTTGAAATTTTTATCATTCATAATCCTTCTGTGGAGACACGTGAGGTCCCAAACAAAAATTTAGGCGCGATCGGTACAACCGTTTTGACATTTATTTGATACAGACACCCTGACAGACAAGCAAAGTATATATATCGATACGACAATTATCTTTAACACTATCCAATGCAATGAAAAGGTTTAAATGACCTATTTTATCATTTGTATTCAGAACATTGTTAATTAGTAAGTTGTAGAATTGTTTGAGCAGGGCTAAATATTAACATTTCTCATTTTATTTTTCATTTTTTTTTTATTCAAAATATATGATTTAAGTATTTTTAAAATGTGATGATAAATTGTGAAAAATATCTAACTTTTGCAATAAAAATTAGGTATTTTAAGACTAAAATGACACAACAGTCCAGGCCGTTAACACGTAAAAGTTTCGCGACAAACTTTTGGGTTGACTTTGAATTTTTGCTGATTTATTATTTAAATAATTTAGGGTTTGCATATATGTGCACATCAAATAGATTCTAATACAATAGATGGCAACGTAGAAATTGTACACTCTCAGTACAGCTGTATTCTGTCGTCACAAGTGTCAATTCAGTTTTTGTGTCCGACAAAATTATCAATAATAGTGATAATTTTAGAATAAAGTGCTCTTCTTACAATAAAATAAATGCAATTTTATATGTTCTTTAGTTTCTGTTTTTACACTTTTTTATTTAATCTTGGAAAACATGTCAACTAATGTGAGACAATTTCGTTTTCCTTGGTATATTTGACACTTGTGACGTTCCGTAAAATTGGTTCATTTCTCTGTTGCCTATTGTACTTGATAATCTATTTGGTGCACATGAGCTTTTTTATTTATAAAAATGTGTTGCCAATTTTGCTCAAAGTTGTCTGCAGTTACATTGAAAAATATATTAACAAATGTGATATTTTTAAAAGTAATTTTAACGCACTGGCAAACGCCTAGTATTTTTGAGTTGCCACAACAAATTTGGTCCTGATCGGTTCAGCCGTTTTGATTTTTGTTGGAAACAAACATACAGACAAAATACTAATTTTCTTGAATACCGAGATAAAATAAATGTTATGAGTTATCTCTTACTTTTTGTCTTTAAAATCAAAATGTTCGTAAAATCTATCAAAATGTTCTTTAAATCTATCAAAATATTCGTAAAATCTATCAAAATGTTCGTAAAATCTATCAAAATGGTCGTAAAATCTATCAAATTGTTGTTAAAATCTATCAAATTGTTCTTCTAATCTATCAAAATGTTCGAAAATTTATCAAAAATGTTCGAAAATTTATCAAAAATGTTCGAAATATCTATTAATATGTTCGAAAAATCTATCAAAATGCTACTAAAATCTATCAAAATTCTCGTACTCTTGAAGTGTTTTTGATTTGCTTTATGAATAGTTGATTATCAGTCTACACTCTACATTATGAAGTATAATATGTCAACCAGTAATTTGAACATACACTGTAGTTTGGATATAAGCCTTTGAATAATCTTGCAGCCTTCGAATTTCTATTGGTCTTGAGTACTAACTGGGCACTTGATCAAGTGAACCCTGATTGGATCAGACGCTACTAGATATTTGAAACTTCCGTGCATAGTTTATAAATCTCCTTTGTTTTCAATGATTACTACTCATATTGAAGAATAATCGAGTTAAAAGCAAAATTGCTTTAAATTATAATATATGTAAACGGGATAAGCTTGCTTTTTTATACTTTTTAAATGAGAAAAATAAAAACTACAGGAGCACAAAGTCATACTAGTAATATCGAGTTTGCACTTGTCCTTTACACAGAGCATACTAAACAATGAAGTTTAATAATATTACAAGAAAAGAACAGGGGTGTTAATGTTTCAACTAGGATTTGTAAATCTATGAATCAGGACTATTATTGATCTAATACATCTTTGTATTTCAGCATGATGGTTTTATCAAGAGTTTTCCTCACATTTTTTCTAGGAAAAAATTATCATTAAATATCACCATTTGTTTAAAAAAAACTTTCCTTGGAACATTTTTAACCCTTGAAATAAACTCATCACAAAAAATTCGGCGATAATTATTTTGGGTGGAAAAATAACAAAATGCGAATTTTATTTTTTTTACAAAAGATATTATAAATGTTAAGAATCAAATCTATTAGAATGGTATGTGAAAGAAGAAAGGAAAACAAAGGAATTGATTCTTTACGACAAACTTAGATTTTCTAATTCTTCTTCGACATTTCAAACTTAGACTTTTGATATAATTAACAGAATTTATAGTTTGAAATATCAAAGAAAAGAAGGGTTGAAAAGATAAAGGAATTAAAACATTTAAGTTTCGGGCAAAAACTCATTTCCTTTACATAAAAAAGGTATGGTTTCTTTTAAGGACTAAAAAACAAATGTTATGGAAGTGTAAACATTTTTTTTCTTTTAACAATTTAATTTTAATGTTTTCTACTTTTTTTGTTTGCCATTTGAAGCGGAAAACAATTTTGACACTTGGGCCAGAACGCAATGGCGCACACACGCCAGAGTTAGTAAAGTTTGAATTTCATTTGGAGCTATTCTTAATCTTAAAACAAAAGAGGTTTAAGGGTCCAGACTCCAGAGCTAATATTATCTAGAAAATAAAGTGGTTCAAATAAAGTTGCAAAATAAAATTAAATTTATATGTGACACATGTTTTTATATAGAATAGAATTCACAGTTTAAAATATCAAAGGTCTTCAACATTGGTTTGCAAAAAACTGGATTATAGAACATCAGAATTGATGACCAAGAATTCGTTGATAACATAATTCATAGACAGGCCTTTTCCAACCATTGTATTAAAAAAATCCGTTTTACGAAAAGAGAAATACTAATTGCAATAAGATTGAGCCTTACCTAGAAGTCAAAACTTTTTTCTAGTTTACAAAAGTTCAGCACTTTTAGTTAACTTTAGTTTACATCAAAAGAGTAAAATGTTAGCAAAGAAAATTTCATAAAATCTGATTAATTAGATATATATTTTTCAATAAATTTGATAAAATCTGATTAATTAGATATATATTTTTCAATAAAAAAAATTGTTAGATAAATTATTCAGATATTCTGATATAATTTAAAGTTTGTGGAGTTTGGGCTGGAAATGAGACATTTAAGAAAACAAAATTGGACAAAGATGCATTTATCCAGGTAAGTGTATATATGTACATTATATACTAGCTTGGGAACCCAGCTTTCCCTGAAGATATAAATAATTATTAATCAAAGCTAAGAACATTCCTCTGGTTCTACGAACATCACCACAAAATCCTATTTTCTAATTTTTAAATCTTTGCAACCTGATGGTGATATAGACTATTTACATGATTAAGTTTTTTTCAGCTTTGAATTTTTTCTAAAAATATAATAAACATAAAAATAATCATTATTTATGTGAAACATAATCATCATAATTTAATTCAGCTGGTTGAACCTATGGTGTTACAGACAGAAATCATGTGTTCAGTTGAATGTCTGCTATTGGATGATTGTACTGCATTTACTTTCGAGGTTAAAGCCAGGACTGTCCCGGGGGTTTCTGCCAAATTCTCGGGACTGTCCCAGGCTTTTGAGTCTCTAAGATTGAGAATAAATTAAATCCCCATGGTATTGGAACTCTGGGTTTTGGGAACAGTCCCAAAGTCCCGGGACAGTCTCAGGCTTCGATCTAGGACAGTCTCAAAGTTTAGGGCTGTCCTGAGCTTCAAAGATTCGGCGATTTTGGGACTGTCCTAGGTTTTTGGGTCTCGGAGATTGCGAAAGAAAATAAACCCATATGGTTTTGGGACTTTTGGGACTGTCCCGGTGTCCTGCATGGGGTGAACTCGACTCTTAAAGTTTTATCCATTTTAACACAATGTTAGACATGAAAAGAAATTTTTAAACATTGAAATTATTAGATGATATATATTACATCCGCATTTAGTTACTAAATGTACTTTAAAGGTAAAGGCAAAAAAGTTCATTTCCTCTTGAATGTCGTCTTCCTTTCAAATCATCAAACAATTAACATTTACTCGAGGCATAGATAACTTTTAATGTGTTTTTCAAATCAAAATACATTCATAAATATCGGAAAATGGCATAACATTGCTTATTATATCTAACACACTGTGTTGAAATGTTTAAAGAGTCCGCTCCATGCATGGTACCGGGCTTCTAAATAAAACATGAATTCCGAGAAACTGGAATTAAAAATCCGCCAATTAACTTAAAATTTATTGCACAATGTACATGTAAATCTTCATCTGAAAAGACATAGAAGATTCAAGTAATGACGGGCAATAAGGTAGAAAATCTACACATTAAAAGTTTTATGAAATTACTGACAAACGACCCTAGTGCCTTAGAACCAACTTAGATCTGAACTTTTCCTCTCTAATAAGGAGGTTTAACCATCGTACTTCATATAGTACTACACATAAACTTCCTTATAAAGAAATAAATCACCATTCACAAGGAAATGAAGTTGCCTTTATAAATAAGAAATTCATACGAGGAAGGATGCTATTAGATGGTGGGAATACAGCGTTGATAAACTAAATATTTTCAGGAGAGCATCTGTAGGGTCGGATATATTGATTGTGCTTCGGGGAAACAGAACTCATTATTATATTTATTTCTACTCTCTTCTCTACATGTAGGTCAGTTTAATTTAACCCTATTCAGGCTGACGTCTGGTTTACCCAACATGGGGGGGGGGGGGTATTGACCCCCACCCCCGCTATACTTCCTTACTGTGATACAAATCTATAACATTTGATACATTTTTAGATACGTACTTTATTAATCTGCCAAAAAATTACAAAATTTCAATTATTTATTGCAATTTTAAGTTAGCCAGCAAAAATGTACCAAAAAAAAAATGGCGCGAAATATGATTTTGCTTATAACAAAGGGCCTTATTTGTCCTCTTGAGTAACCCGACCCGTCAGCACCCCCAGCAGATAATGAGGTGTAAGCCTCAGGGTAGGAGGCCTGTTAGGATCGGATACGGTAAATCCAACCTGGGTCAGGCTGCATGCTGGAAGTCACAACATGCAGCCCAGACCGTTATACAATGAATGGTAATTTTCTAGTATACGATTTTTGGACCCCCCCCCCCGCTAAATCCGTTTCATGTATAGCTAACTTAAAAGCTGGCAAAAAACAAACTCTGTATTTTATAATGAATTTAGTGACTAGTGACCACGTTGCATTTCTCTTTTTTGTGGGAAAGGGTTTCAAGATTATTTATATAACTAGAAATTCAAGGCGCTTCGCGCCCTTCTTTCTAGGCTTTTCGGGCGCTTCGCGCCCATCTCTTCTATTTAAATTGTGAACATGTTCTTTTTGTTTACATTTTAAAACAAAGAAGAAAAAATTTTGCGGATTTATAAACCTTCCCTGGGGTCACGTGATGTCCCACAAAAAATTTGGGCCCGATCGGTTCAGCCATTTTGACGTTTATTGGATACAAACAAACAGACAGACAAATAGACAGACAAGCCAAATTTATATATAGATTTCTTATATTTCCTAGTTGATGGTTGTCCTATCTGCTTTACCAGGTCAGCTGGTATCTGCTGGATGAGAACCAGTTCCGGGATAAAGAAAACATGGCAGGGTCAGCTATTTCATATTAAAGGGATTGAATTGGCGTAATTTCTATTTAAATTCTATTTTATTTTAATTCTGAATTCTGATACAACTTATATGTTTTCCTGGAGTATAGAAATGATCAAATCACAATTGCACAGAGAAAACACAATCGAAAATAATCAGTCAAAATTTCAAACATCATGATATCTAATTTGAACTTAAGATCAGACAAAGCTTGAAATTACGCTAACATTCCCTTTAATCTCACAAGAAGTAGCTAAATTATTTGGTGAACTGTCCCTTTACCGTTATTGAGTTGAGAGTGATTTATTTGATCCTCTCACTGTTCAAATTGTTCAAATTGTCTGAATTATCCTTTACCTATCATGGCCCCACGTGTGCACTAAGCTTTCACACTTTTCACTTTTTTAAAAAACAACTTTGATCGTTTGTCAACAATTTGAAAAATAAATTAAAATGAAATTATCAATTTTGCAGTAAAGAACACGAATTAGAGACTTTGAGGTTGTTTCAAAAATCAAATAACGAAATGATCTTTGCTTTGCATGAAAATTTGCTTTGATGACGATTGAGTTTTAGACAAATTTTTTTTAATTTTGACCGGCCATGATTGTATTTTAAGATGGTAAAAAAAATGGTTACCTATATCTGTTATTGTTTATATTTTAGGTTGACATCATTTTAGCAGCTTTTTTGATCAATTGGTTAACATTTGTTGATCTTATCAATTATAAGGAATTGTTTTGTTTCAGGAATGGTGAATTTTTGTGAATCTGTTCACAGTTTTATACCTATGCCAACCAACCAAGATATGATCAACACAATTCTAAGGGGAAAAATTATATTATTTTGATACAATTAAATTTTTAAATTTGTATTTCACAATTGTCAAAAGAACACAGAAAAATTTCCCCATTGATTCTAATTTGTCTGAGAGTAAATAACATTCCTTTGTAAAAAGTAACAAATTATGTTTTATTATTTTTTTTGGATACATTCCTTTAAAAAGCTGGTTTTAACATGAACGCAGATTTTAGATTTTAGATTAGCAAGATAAAATGAAAATTGTTGCATGCCAAAAAACCAGCTTTTTATAAGGGAATGGTTTTTTAAGCAATAAATCAATAAATCAATGGATTACAGTATCAAAAAAATCAGTAAATGATTAAATCAATAAATCGATAAATATAAATAATTAAACCAATAATTGTAAAAATCGATAAATCAATAAATCAATAAATCAATATATTAATAAATCAATAAATCAACAAATCACCATATCAATGAATAATTAATTCATTAAATCAATAAATCATTACATCAATAAATCATTAAATCATCAAATCATTAAATCATTAAATCAATAATTCATTTAATTATTAAATGAAGAATCAATGGATGATTAAATGAATAAATCAATAAATCACCATATCAATGAATCATTAAATGAATAAATGAATAAATCAAGAAATCAAGAAATCAATGTATCTCTTTAGCAATAAATCAATATATCATGAAATCAATAAAAAAAAATACTGAAACAATTATTAAGAATGCTCACGTTATGTATGTAATTCTACTTGAAGGATAATTTATGAATCAATTTGTTTTTTAAATATACATTTAAACATTTAAAATATATGTTTAAAGAAAAAATAATGAATATTTCAAAATCCCTCTAAAGTAAGATATCTATTAATCAATCTGTCTTAAAACTATACATCTAAGCAATAAAAATCAATATTTTAAGAAAAGTTAATGAATATTAAATTATAAAAGAATTAATTGTAATTAATATGACCTTTTAACCTGCAGTATTACAAACTCTGAACCTGTTTGGTTGGGATCCAAAAATGTAATGAAGGTAAAAAATTAATTCTTTAACCCTATCACGATTGGAGCGGGCGGATGGGGGGGGGGTTAAAACAAGTGTTGCATGAATGTTTGTAATTCTCTTTGATTCAAAAGTTTTCTTAGGGACTTTTTAATATTTGTTTTAAAACTTTTTGGCACTCTAACCATTAAAGTAAAAAGTGCTGACCAATAGAAAAGTCCGAAAATGATGTCTCCTTACTCCTTAGTCCTTATGCATAGTACATATATTCCACATTTGCTGTCACTCGATTGCCTCTATAATCACTGATGTCATGATATACGGATTCTATATCTATCTTTGCTCAGAAGACGACATTGTCCGTAAATTGGAGCGCATCGAGAGTAACCATGCTTGTATCTAAGTAATTCTTTTTCAGTCAATTAATCAAATTATCGTTGGGATACAAACAGTCTAGTCTAGATATTGAATATCACATTATACGTCTTCTGCAGTCCCCTTTGAACCGCTTTTTTTTACACTGTATCTGTTGTAGACAATGACTGGTAAATGGTTGGATGGTTCTGAATATGCACTCAACAATGGAAAGGTTTGTCACTAATCTGATGTGGGGGTGGGGGTCAGACGTTTGTTGCCCCTCCCCCAATGTTTATGTCAGCGTTATTATATTCGTCCAGTACACACAGGACTGTTGAAAACGCTGCCCACCTGTTAAGTGTTTGAATAAATTTAAAATAGCTGATCAATTTTATCATTTATCCCAGATTAGATCTAATATACACGTTTTTCAAAATTCCTTGAATAATGCATATGCCCCCTCCCCCCAGCTAATCTAAAGATTTATCAGCCGATTTGCAGACTGTTTTGCAGATAGAGCGCTCTCATTGGTAAAATCAGAACCAATTAGAATCATTGGATCTTATTGTAGACCCAAGTAAAGCGGATTGAAGGCTTAAAAGTCTTAATTGGGGTTTATTTTTTAAATCTTAGCGCAGGTTTTTTTTCAAAAAAAATCAGGATGTTTTCAAAATAATTTAAGCCTGGGACAAAATATAATCGAAAAAGAATCATGAAATCAATAAAAAAAAATACTGAAACAATTATTAAGAATGCTCACGTTATGTATGTAATTCTACTTGAAGGATAATTTATGAATCAATTTGTTTTTTAAATATACATTTAAACATTTAAAATATATGTTTAAAGAAAAAATAATGAATATTTCAAAATTCCTCTAAAGTAAGATATCTATTAATCAATCTGTCTTAAAACTATACATCTAAACAATAAAAATCAATATTTTAAGAAAAATTAATGAATATTTCAAAATTCCTCTAAAGTAAGATATCTATTAATCAATCTATCTTAAAACTATACATCTAAACAATAAAAATCAATATTTTAAGAAAAGTTAATGAATTTTAAAAAATCCTTACGAAGTGTAATTCTAACAATATATACATGTGTTTAAACATCCAAAATATATACTTAAAGAAAAGTTAATGAATATTAAGTTATAAAAGAATTAATTGTAATTAAAATGACCTTTTAACCTGCAGTATTACAAACTCTGAACCTGTTTGGTTGGGATCCAAAAATGTAATGAAGGTAAAAAATTAATTCTTTAACCCTATCACGATTGGAGCGGGCTGAGGGGGGGGGGAGTTTAAAACAAGTGTCGCATGAATGCCTGTAATTCTCTTTGATTCAACAGTTTTCTTAGGGACTTATAAATATTTTTTAAAAACTTTTTGGCACTCAAGCCATTAGACATGTTGACCAATAGAAAAGTCGGAAAATAATGTCTCCTTAGTCCTTTTGCATAGTTGTAAGCGGCTAGAAAACGAGATTCTCAAGATGTTATGATATTACGTCCGCTGATATCAGTTGTTGAAGGATATATATTTCCCAACAATATTTCCCAATTATTGCAGATACACAACAGAATGAACCCCGTCTCAAAATCGATAACAAAGAAAACTCTTTTTCTTTCCTGAAAATTACATATAATTATTACGTGTACAAATGGTAAAAATCAATGCTTATAATGCAAAAAATTCTTACGATTTATTTGTGTGTGAGTTGGGGGTTAACAATGGTTTGAACAGTACTAAAAGACGTTTTAAACTTCTGAAATAAAATGACAATTGATTATCACTAATTCTTTATATGAAAATTATTCTTTGTTTAACTTTTGAAAATAGATTCGTTGGAGAGGAGAGGGGGGGGGGTGAAATTGTTTGGTTTGGTGTCTCCGAGAGGTAACTTCAGTTAAAGACGACTTTACAACAGAGACTTATTGTTAATGGTTGACAATAGTAGATAGATTCCACATTTGCGGTCACTCTTGCCCCTATAATCACTGACGTCATGATATACGGATTCTATATCTATCTTTGCTAACAAGAGGACATTTTCCATTAATTGGAGCCTATCGAGAGTAACCATCTTCTTGTATCTAAGTAATTCTTTTTCAGTCAATTAATAGTATCGTTAGGATACAAACAGTCCAGTCTAGAAATAGAAGGTCACATTAATACGTCTTCTGACGTCCCCTTTGAAACGCTTTTTTAACACTGTTTCTGTTGTAGACAATGACTGGTGAATGGTTGGATGGTTCTGAATATTAGCAGTTTATGGTCGGACACTAAATGTTGTAGAAAATCCCATTTAGACAGTACTTAATTCCTCCGTATTTAGGACGTTAGTAAGTGGAGACGTCATGTTTGAAAAAAGTACGGATGAAAAAATTCCGGCTCAGCCGATTTGCAGTCCATTTTGAAGATCTCTCTCATTGGTCTAATTGTAGACCCACGTGAGCGGATTGAAAACTCAAAAGTCTTAATTGGGTTTTATTTTTTAAATCTTAGCGCAGGTTTTTTTTCAAAAAAAATCAGGATGTTTTCAAAATAATTTAAGCCTGGGACAAAATATAATCGAAAAAGAGAAAATGTTTTAACAACTTTTTTTATTAAGTAAGTCATTTATTTCTGTTTTATAAAATTATTTTAAAAAGTTAGATCCTTAATAAGCTGCTAGGAACGTAATTTTTCAACTGTTTTAATATTTTTGTTTAAAAGAGGGCTCAGAAGAACTGTATTTATATGGACTCCAGTTTGGATGACCAGGAACCGAATTTAATGAAGCTACGTCTAACATTTATTACTCTTTCTTGTAGCGTCTGATCAAATCAGGATTTAGTCACGTGCTTTGTGACGATTCAGAATTAAAATAGTATCCATCTATCTATCAATCTCATCCAACTAAAGAAGAATAGTAAAGGGAAATGTGTACTCCTACTAAGAAAAGGGTGTTCGCTGAACCACCTATTGCCAGTTCAAATTTGAACTATAGATTAAAAGATACAGATTTTAACCCTATACAGGCTGNATTGGGCTATGAACATGCATTTCAACCCTATACCTATTCTCTAAGGCCTTTTTCTAGGAAGGAGGGGGTGCCAAAAGCCCCCCTCAGGCTATACGTAGATTCAGACCCCCAGCCTTTATAGGGTTAAGGTTTTGGATTTGAATCGATTCGGTAGTTTAAATTTTAACTGACAGTAGACAATTTTAATTCATTAAAATACGGTCCCAGAACTGTGCTAATGTGTTACCAGGGATATGTGTCAAACCACAATAGTAAGTAAAACAATGTCTTTATCATACATTCGTCGTCGTATTTATCCTTTTTACTTTAACTTTAACTTTAACTTTAACTTTTAAATTCAATTTTAAATTTCGACATAAAAACCAGTAAATTAACTGTTTCTCTTTGTTTACTTGTAAACTTGTAATTTGAAAAGCGTGTTAGAAATCAAAACTTCGTCAAAATTTGTCTTCATATAGTATTAATAAAAAATCAAAAAAAAATCGTAACCCGCAAATTCCGCATTTTTATTCTGCCGAAAATTCAGCATAGCTTTCTTACGTTAAGCAAGCATCAAGCATATTGTACAAAAAGATTTTGACGCAAATTTAAAATTCAAAGCTTGTATATTTTAAATGCCAAAACATAATTCAAAAAATCAAATATTCTAACAGTTTGAAATATCAAAGATTTGAGCTGTCTGGTTTTAAAGATAAAGGAATTATAGAAAGTTTGAGGCAAAAACTCAGTTTCTTTTTAGTTTATTCTTTTTCAGGAGTTCTCTTCATAAAAAGCATGGATACATGTTGACTCTGCATGTATGACTGCAGGAAAAAAATGGAATAAATTGAAAAAAAATAATCTTGTATTAATTTGCAGTATAATGATGTTTAATGAATAAATACCAACAATTTGGTTTTCGTCAAATTTTCTGATGAGACAAATTGTAGAAAGTAAAATTTTTTTTCTCAATTAATAAAATCTCTTTAACCCGATCGCACTTGGGCTATTTCAGGCCCGTTGCTGGGGGTGGGCACACATGGTCACCTAGTGTGTTATATTATTTCTTTAGGAAGACTCAGAATGCAATTTTAAATTTATAATTTAAAAATGAAAGGGTATATAGACTGAAACCTGAGAACCTCAGGAGTTGAACGATACATATAAATTTATACGAAAATTCATATATATATTTCCGTCTGTATCACATGAAAACGATACTGAACAGGAACATCAGATAGATGTCTTATATATAGTTCAACTCCTGAGATTCTCAGGTTTCAGCCTATACCCCCCTTTCTTTTTTCCTTTAAAACAAACGTTAACTGATTACAGTTTTGAAATCTTGAAAGTTTTATAAAAAGTTACCAGAAATGATCCCAAACGATTATTCTAAAGATTGCGTAGAAGAGAGAATGAATGAAGATTAAAGCGATTGTAACATTCAAATACTGCCTCGGAAAATATTGTTCTTTAAATAATTTCATCCCTGGAGTTATATTTCACTTCATATGGGAGGAATGGATAAATGTAGTAGATTTATTGTAATGAACAATGTTCCAACTGAAACTTTATAAAGTTCATCGAAAAAAACTGTGTAAGTCCACCGCCCGTAACCTCGATCAATTTAGGTTTGTGTCGAAAACTCAGTTCCTTTAAAATTACATTTTTTTTTATTAAACAAAATTAAAGCTAAGAGTCTGGAATTAACATATTTATTGAACATTTTTAAACGTAACTATTCATTTTTGATCAGAATAAACGGGTCCAATTTCTAAACCTCCAATACTGATGGTATCCCTACCCCCCCCCCCCGCCCACCATTACACATTACGTATATAGAAAAAGTACACCGCCTGATATAATTCTATTGATTTTCAATACAATTAATCCTTTATACAATATGTAATAATTGAGTATCTATCCTTCTTCCTCATTCCTTGTTAGGATATTTCATTCCGTTTACATATCTATATTCCCAAATATGTATTCCTTACAAAGATCTATATTCTTCAAATGCAAGGATGCCAATTTAATATTTTCCTTTCTTTCTTTCTATTCCTTTTATAGATATCTAGTTCTTTTAATAATATGTTTGTATCCAATAAACGTCAAAACTGCTAAAAAGATCGGGCCCTAATTTTGTATGGGACCTCACATGACCCCAGGGAAGGTTTATGGATGCTCAGAATTTCACAAGCTGTCTCCAAAAATTTCGAAAATGTAGGAAAAATGTCAGGAAATCTATTTTTGTTATTGTACATTGAAAGATACATATTTAAAAGTTGATTTTAAAGTCCATGGTGTCTGTAATCTGTATACTCTTTTATTCGTTAAACAGTGCGCTTTAAGTTATTACGCAAATCGGGTTTTTAGGTTTAAAGCGAAGGAAAGCAATACATATTTAAAAACTTTTTTATAATTATGATTGCCTTTTTTATGATTAAAAGCATTTAATCAAAAAAAATATACATTTAAATAATGTTTTTGGCAAAATAGATCTAAACCTGAAAAATATGATAATGTGTCTCAAGTTATTTTGCAAGTTACTTTAAAAGGCGATTATTTGAAGATGTTAAAATCATTAATTATTGAGTTAGAATTTAAATAAAACGCATTTGCGTAATGGTGGCTTGAAACGCAGTGTACTTTGATTGTATATATAACATATATAGCAAGGATGTATTTTACTGTAATACAGCTACATTAATGTATCTCTTAAATTCCTATTATTTCCTGCATTTGTCTTTTGTTCACTTTGGTTTAAATTACGATTTTAGCCATTTGTCATTATAAAGGTCAACCCACTCAATTTAAAATTATAAAACCAAGCTGAAAACATTCCTGTGGTTATCCCGACTTCCCTAATCAAAATTTGAGGCAAATAGGTCCAGGGGTTCAAGAATAATGGAGCGGACAAACAAACAGAGATTTCTACTTTATATATACAATATACAGATCCTAAATGCTTTAAACAAATCTATTCTACGAACAAAAATTAATGTCTTGCTTCTGTATGCAAGATGCATATCTTTATGCCTTGTGTAATATACATGTTACACATATAAATACATCAGAATTTCGTGTTTAGATCAATTTTGAAGCCTGAACAACTGTGTTCCGTGCATGCACAGATCAGGGAAAAGAAACAGGCGGAGAAAGTAAATGAAACAGAAGAAGAGAAAAGGAACAGAAGAAGATTGAAAAGAAACAGAAGAAGATAAAAGAAACAGAAGAAGATTGGAAAATAACAGAAAAAGATTAGAAAAAACAGAAGAAGATTTGAAAAGAAACAGAAGGAGAATAAAAGAAACAGAAAATGATTTGAAACGAAACAGATTACGATTTGAAAAAAGTAACAGAATGAAAAGTGGAAAGAAACAGAAGAAGTATAGAAAAGAAACAGAAGAACATGGTAGAAAACAGAAGAAGATTGGTAGAGAAACAGAAGAAGATTAGAAAAGAAACAGAAGAAGATTGGAATAAAACAGAAGAAGATTGGAAAAGAAACTGAAGAAGATTAGGAAAGAAACAGAAGAAGATTAGAAAAGAAACAGAAGAAGATTGGAATAAAACAGAAGAAGATTGGAAAAGAAACTGAAGAAGATTGGGAAAGAAACAGAAGAAGATTGGAAAAGAAACTGAAGAAGATTGGGAAAGAAACAGAAGAAGATTGGAAAAGAAACAGAAGAAGATTGGAAAAGAAACAGAAGAAGATTGGAAAAGAAACAGAAGAAAATTGTGAAAAGAAAGAGGAGAAAATTTGAAAGAAATAGAAAAAGATTGGAAAAAAAGAAGAAGATTGGAAAAAACAGAAGAAGACTGGAAAAGAAACAGAAGAAGAATAGAAAAGAAACAGAATAAGATTGGAAAAAAACAGAAGATGATCGGAAACGAAACAGATGACGATTTAAAAAGTAACAGAATGAAAAAGGGGAAAAAAGCAAAATAGAAAAAATCAAGAGAAAAGGAGAAGGAGAGAAGAAAAAGAAATGAATGAAAAAATAACAGTTGAATTCTAAATCCTAAATCTGATCAAACATGTCAGCAATATTCTACCTTGAAAATGTTTAATTGTGGTAATTCCTCCATTGTTTCTGAAGCAAGAAATGCCTAGTGTCTAGTGAAGAGACACCACAAATGAAAATGATCAGTTTTCAAAAACAAAAACATGTAAATGAAATTTCTTAAGGGTACGGTTGTGAATCGGATGGAGATTGGTCTGATGTAGCAGCAAAATGGAAAAATAGTTTCGTGAAAATTTCGCATTCCTTTTGAAGAAAAAAAATGCGAAATTGTCGCATATTTTTTTCGCACCGTTTACGTTTTCGTTGGCAATCTTCATTTACGAAATTTCGCAAAAAATCAATACGAAAAATCAATGTCGTTTTTCTTTCGCTGGAAACCCAAGTCCGAGGGTCACAAAAATGTATTTACATTTCCATGCAGTCCCTTTAAGATGGTTGGGTTTGTAAAGATGAGAGTAAAGAATATTTATTGAACGGAGTAAAGCGGAGATTTTGTTCAGTATTCTCCAAACCTCCGTGTAAGACGGAGGTTAGTTCTTCCTCGGGAATGTGACCACAAATATTCTCTTAAAGGATATATAACATTCTCCCTACACAAGTGTTTTCTATATTCATATTTTTAAAATTATTTAATTCCCTTATTTACTCATTCTACTTTTCAACATTTTATTTTCAATCTTAAATTTTAAATTAAGATTTTAACTGTAAAGGACAGAAAAATGTCCCAAAAATTATTAACATTCAGAAATAATTTGCACAAATTGATAGAGGATATAAAGGATGGGTCATAGCATTGCTTCAGTTTTAAACTAAAATTCTTTTATATCTTTTCTCCAGAATTACGAAAGCCAATATGTAACCCTCAATATGTGGGTATTTTTTTATAACCCTCTTTCTACTGACGTATACTCTGCACAAAAAACCCTCAGGGGGGGGGTGGATAAAAACAAAAAAAAACTAAAGAAGGAAACAATACAAATATATGAATTAGTGGTATTATATTGTGACGTAAATACAAAATTAATGCAATTTATTCCTAAAGAAAGCATCAAAATCAAAATGCAACTTTTAATAATACTAGCCTTAGAGGGCGCTTCGCGCCCATCCTCTAAATTAATTGTGAACATGTTCTCTTTGTGTAGATCGTAAAACAAAACAAAAATAATTCGCGGATTTTCACAAAAAATTTCGTGGATTTTCAAAATGTTCAAAAATTTAATGAAGATCGAATTTTGATGGAGACAAATATTTGAAATTTAGATCATTCATAAACCTTCCCTGTGGTCACGTGATGTCACACAAAAAATTTGGGCCCGATCGGTTCAGCCGTTTTGACGTTTATTGGATACAAACAAACAGACAGACAAAAAGACAGACAAGCCAAATTTATATATAGAAGTGACACAGTTTCAATCAAAGGAATTGAGTCTTTGCCACAAAATCTGATTTTCCAATCCCTATATCTTTGCAACCCAATGTCTTAGACCTGATATATTTCAAACTAAGTATATTGTTAGATCAAATAATCTAAGTTAAAAATATCAAAGGTTTACAAAATATATATGGGTTGATATTCATTTATAAATTAAATTTGGCATTCAGAAAAACATACTTTAAGACTCAAGTAGTTTAACATAAATTTTAAAGCTCATTGTAAATCACTGATATTATTTTTTTCGCAATTATCGTGAAGGACATTTTGAATTTAGAAACCTTAGTTAATTCTTATTTTTGTATGTATTGGGTTAAACCAACGAGGTTACAATTAGGGTTTGCAGCGAACGAAATGTTCCGCTAAAAATGCGAAAATTTTTGTTCGCATTTCGCAAACTTTTTCACGAAATTTCGCAATTTTTCGCGAAAAATGAAAGAAGCGAAAAAAATGCGAAAACGGTGCGAAATTTCGCGAAAATATTTTCGGGAAATGCGAAAATTTTGTGAAAATGTTTTTGGGAAAAAATTCCGAGGAAGCATTAAGTGTCATAGCTGCAATAATTAATGCGCAAAAAAAACTTGTGGAATTCTCTGATCTGATAGCTCAATAATAAATAAATATAAATATTAATAATTTCTCTTCCTTTAATAAATGTTTGATGAAGAGAATTTCTCAGTTCTGTCCGTCCACATACATTCACCTATGACTATGAGCCAGCAAATTAAAAATCCTTATTTTTTGCGAAATTTTCGCTTCAATTTTTTGCGAAATTTTGGCATCATTTTTTTGCATTTTTCGCGAAATTTTGGCTTTTTCTATTTCGCAAAAATTTCGCATTTTTTTTGAAAAAGATTAAAGCGAAATTTCGCAAATAAAGTGAAAATTTTTCCATTTTTCGCGAGCGAACGAAATGCGAAAAAATGCTAAATTTGCGTGAAACAATTTTTCTTTTTCGCTGCAAACCCTAGTTATAATATGATCCAGCCCCCCTAAACACTTTTAAATAGAATATGCACATAATATAACAAATTTCATAAAAAAAGTTAAAGATTTAGAAAGTGTGTTTTGTCCGTGTAACATTTATGAATAGATGGCCTAAATATTTGTCCCATTATCTAATATAGGAAGTGCTGCGTACACAACAGTTTATCACTTTATCAGATTAATAGATATATATATAGCTAGAGACATATAGATATATAGATATATATAGATATATTAATATATGGATAGATTGATAGATTTCACACAACGTTTGCATAACAAAATAAATAATTATATTAAGAAAAAAAACCAGGCTACATATACCTACCTTTTAGTTAAAATTATGTTGTGTCAACACTTTTCAATTAGATTTATGCTTTTTTACATGTTTCATTTTCCCCCTGTTCTTTTATCAACTCTTATATTTGTTTCATAACAAACATGTTATTTCGTTCTTGTAAAAGTAAGTGATCCATCTTACACTTTGTCTGGTCATTGTTAAATTTTGTCTGGTTCATGATAAACTTTGTATTGTTCATGAGAAAGTTTCTCTTATTCATGGTAAACTTTGTCTGGATCATTGTAAACTTTGTCTGGTTCATGATAAACTTTGTCTGGTTCATGATAAACTTTGTCTGGTTCATGATAAACTTTGTCTGGTTCATAATAAACTTTGTCTAGTACATGAGAAACTTTGTTTGATCATAAAAAAAATGTGTCTGGTTCATGAGAAACTTTGTCTGGTTGATGATAAACTTTGTTTGGCTCATTTTAAATTTTGTCTGCAATGATAAACTTTGTCTGATCATGACAAATCTTGTCTGATCATGAGAAACTCTGTCTGATAAAAATAAACCTTGTCTGATGATGATAAACTTTGTCCGATCATGATAAACCTTGTCTGATGATGATAAACTTTGTCTGATCATGATAAACCTTGTCTGATCATGATAAACTTTGTTTGATCATGATAAACCTTGTCTGATCATGATAAACTTTGTCTTATCATGTGAAACCTTGTCTGATCATGATAAAATTTGTCTGATTCATGATAAATCTTGTCTGATATCATGATAATTTTTTTCTGATCATGAAAAAAAAACAATACAAAAGTCCTTGGTTATTTTTTCTGATTGTATAGGAGAGAATTAGTGTGTTTTTCTCAATATTTAATCAAGGAATAATATGTAGAGAAGAGACAGGGACTGGGTTTTTTCAATGTTTAGTCAAGAAATAAAATGAAGAGAAGAGACAGGGACTGGGTTTTCTCCATGCTTAATCAAGAAATAAAATGTGGAGGAGAGACAGTGACTGGGTTTTCTCAATGTTTAATCAAGGAATAAAATTAAGAGAAGAGACAGGGACTGGATATTGTCTATTCAAGTTAAATGTACAGAAACTTTAATTCTATTGTAATACAACTTAAAGGGAACGTTCTAGATTTTAAAAGAAATAATAATGAATTATAAAAATTGTTGAAAACTAAAATAAAGAAATGTTAAATAAGAAAAATAGTTTGTTTCTTTATAAAAACGAATTTTATTATTTTTACTCGTTTTAGAATTTTTTATCCTGGAAAGTTTTTATGTGACAACCTATTTTTACGGTTTTGTGGACACACAGTCAGACAGACAGACAGACAGGTACATACATAAATAAATAGATGTAGATACAAGACTAAAGATATTGGCAATTTTTCCAGTAAATAAACCTTATTCATAAATATAGGTTTACACCAACCTTAATACTTCCGGATATCTTCTTCCGGAAAACGTATTTATCCCCCATACCCCCGCCCCCTAAAAACCCTTACCGTTGGCGAAGCAGAGGAATTCGAAAATAAACGGAAGAGTCCGTTAACGAAATAGATTAGCCGTTTTTGAAAGAAGAAAAAACGGTTGAAAACAAAACGCAACGGATGGTTTACTAAAAAACGGTAACTTTCGTTCTTTTTTGTAATGTTGGACCTGTAAAGATTTGTTTTTTGAAATTTGGTGATGGCTTAAGCCGTAAATCCAATTTGATAAACTGTTAACGATTTGTTTATGGAAATTTTTGAGTTTTGGCAAACCGTTAACACTGTTAATACTACAAACAACCGTTAACAGCTTGCATCATTAACGATTTGTCAAATCGTTAATGAAAATTGTTTTGCACTTTGCGCAATTTCTGAACAGCTCATCCCGTTAATTACAGAAACAAGCGTAAACGTCAGAGAATCTTCCGTTAACGCTGTTTTATAAATTAAGATCGTTAACTAGCAGTAACTTTTAAAAAACGGAAACGAACGTTTTCTCACCTTTAGAACTAATGGCTATCTGAAATTTTTCTTTCTTAACGGTTGGAAATAACCGTTAATTGAAACGGCTAGAAAAAGTTGGAGCATGCCCAGTTCTACTCTCCCCCCCCCCCCCCCCCCCCTACTCTTTTAGAATATGAAAAACTAGCAAAAGTGCTAAGATAGAGTTTCCCATCGAATTTTAAAAAAAACACATAAAACAACCACCTACAATTACGATATATTGAGTATTGACGAATATCACGCACCTCTTTCCCTTTAGTAAAAGTAAATTCAACCTGTATGAAGCATAAAGTTGACCGCATCAACCTTGTTACACCGGCTAGTCCTGTCCATAGAGCTAGGTACTGTAAAAACTGGGACCGGAAAGGTTGACTCGGCTCGGAAATTCAAATGTACTAGGGCTGCCCGTGATATACACGATGACCCAAAAAGACGGGATTAAAGTTTTTCAGGTCTTTTTATCGTAAAAAGACTTGAAAATAAATTCTATTGAAAAGTTTTTAATTTTGAGTTAAAAATCAAAATTAGGGTCTTCATTTATTAATATAATTATTAATAATCGGCATTATATATCTATATAATCAAACAAGACATTCGTATATATATGTTGCGTATAGCCGGCCTAACGGCTGGACTGATTGGACTAAAATTTTTTGTGGACACTTGTGGCCTGGGGGTGTAATAGGCTAAAAATAGAAATTTTTGTTCAACATTTTTTTATTTTTTTTTCACGGGCCCTTCAGCTAATTATCTATATGATAAAACAAGACATTCGTATATATGTTGCATATAGCCGGCCCAACGGCTGGACCGAATGGGCTGAAATTTAGTGTGGACACTCTTAGGTGGCCGGAGGATGATAAAGGTTAAAAAATTTGAACATTTTTTGAGCATTTTTTTTCAAAAAAAAATTCTCCACCGGCATCGTCGGGCCCTTCAGGCAGTATATTATATTATATATAATTATTAATCAATTGTTTCCAATGTTTAATGTCTAGTTTCTAATATCTATTTTACAAGTCTAGTATCTAGAATCTACAAAATTTAAATTGTTTTGAAAGCAAACATGGCGTGAGAAATGAACAGTTGATTCACAGAAGAATATCCTTTAAATGTGTTTTTAATACTATCTAACATCACATAAGCTGTATCCAGTGTCTGGAGGAATCGTAAAAGTAATACATTAACAGCTATGAAGAACGGAATGGAAGATATGGAGCACAATAAGAGAGAGCAGACATCTTCTAGCTATTTAATTTTGATTTTTATCAATACATTAATATATATATATAATTTGGCTCTGACATAAAAATGACCAAATTCCCTAAAATAAATCCGCCGCGCTTCGCGCGCAATGATTAAATTATTTCCCCCTTCCTGAAAAATATCGTAAGCCGCCCCTGAGTAAAAGAATAATGTTTTCTACGCATTTGTTTCAGAAAATGACAGTTTTATGGGCTCTTGTATTGCTTACACATGCGGCAGGTAAAATTACAATTTGCATATTTGCATCATTTGCATAAAGAACTTTCTGGGGAGAAAAAATCAATAAAATTTAATAAGCAGAACGTTTTTAGATTATCTTAAAGCCAAATACACCATTTTGATCAGCATATATATTTATGGGCTTTTGAATGAGAGGCAAAGATAAAGATTGTTTTTTTTCTATTTTTAGCCTGAAAAGGCCATAATCTTAACAATTATGGGTCGATTTTGTAGAAAATAGTAAAAACCTGACAGGAGCATTTACTAAACGAATTACCAAATCTGTTTATCATGATTGTAAGATAATTAATAGATGTTTTGAATCCGACCATGGGAGAAACTTAAATGGGCTTTTTGCATATATTTCTTTATGCGCATAGAGCTAAATAACCTACAAACCAAGCCACATTTTGCTTTTTCAATTATTTTTTCTCAGTTTTTAGTTCTTAATGTGAATTAACCAATATTTGGTCAAGGAAAAATATAAAATGATCAGATTTTTTGAACAATTTGAAAAATCTAAAAGACCAAATATTTGAGTAGTGTGTAGTGTAAGTATGTACAAAAAGGAAAAATAAACCGTTCAAGAACATTTTAATTATTGACTTTTCACTGTTCACATTGTTTATGTATTGTTTACGTGCAGTGCTGAGTGATTGTAATCCTGACGCAAAGCGTTTGTACGACGAGATCCTGAGTAACTATAACAAGCTGGTTAGGCCGGTCAAAAACGTGACTGACTCGGTCACGGTCAAATTCAAGCTAAAGCTCTCGCAACTTATTGACGTGGTAATTTTTTAAATTCTTAATTTCTTGAAAATCTTAAAATATGATAGATAATCACTATAATTAATACCATCATTATTATTAACATAGCTATTTATTAATATTATTATTATAATTATTATTTTGATTATAATCATCATTGTTATAATTATAATTATTATTATTATTATTATTATTGTTTGAAAAAGTGAAAGAAAATGTCGACATTCTTTGATTGCAAGTAATTAATGCGCGCCATTAGTTTTCCAAATTGTCTTACTTATTAGGTAATATTATTTCTAGCCGAAATTGTTTGCAATTGAAACTAGAATAAAGCTACTAATATTTTTACTTAGAATCTACCATTCTAAATAGTTTTACTTAGAATCTACCATTCTAAATAGTTTTACATAGAATCTACCATTCTAAATAGTTTTAGTAAGAATCTACAATTCTAAATAGTTTTACTTAGAATCTACCATTCTAAATAGTTTTAATTAGAATCTACCATTCTAAATAGTTTTACTTAGAATCTACCATTCTAAATAGTTTTACTTAGAATCTACAATTCTAAATAGTTTTTCTTACAATATAAAATTCTACTAATCTTTTTACTTAATCTACCATTGTAAAATATTTTTACTTCCAATCTACAATTCCACTAATATTTTACTTACAATCTGCCATTCTACTAATATTTTCAATTATGATCTACTAGTATACTAATATTTTTACTTACAATCTACCATTCTTTTAATATGTTTACTTAAAATCTATAATTTTACTAATATCTTACTGACTATAATTCTGCTAGTATTTTCGCGTTACGTTCCCCTTATACTTTTGCGTAGAATTTACAACCATTGATTTTGATACTTGTCTATTCTATTATTTCTCTATCAATTCGTTTTGCGAAAAATATGCAACTGTACAATCCTTTTTGCGTAGAATCTAAAACTACTCTATTCAAATGATACGCGACGCTAAAGCTTTCGCGCATAGCACATGTCTTTTGCATTATATTACTAATATAAAATTATTTTTGCGTAGAATCTGCGTAATCAGATTATGACGACTAACCTGTGGGTGGAACAGTACTGGTATGATCACAAGTTGGTCTGGTCACCAGAGGTGAGATATTTACCAGAATTAAAAAGAAGTGTTTAAAAACTCTTGAGGGCTAAGAGTTTGTTAAGATTTGCTAAGAAGCAGTCAAGAATTGAACATCAGCTGTTAAGACGTTGAAAAGTAGCCAGTTAGACTTTTCAAGGCTAAAACAGTGTTATGGCTTTTTAAGGCTAAAATGTTGTTATGAATTTCAAGGCTAAAATGTTGTTATGAATTTCAAGGCTAAAATGTTGTTATGAATTTCAAGGCTAAAATGTTGTTATGAATTTCAAGGCTAAAATGTTAAAAGATTTTCTTAAAAATCCCTGAAGACTTTAAAATGAATCTGTAAAGATTTTTGAAAACTTTTCATTGCAAGAAGCAGTTTACATATGTTAAAGAAGGCGTTAAGACTTTTAAAGAAATTTGTAAAACGTTTTGAAGAAGTCGACGTTTTGAAGAATCTGGACAGACTTTAAAAAAGAAGTTGTAAATACTTTTTTTAAGTCGGTGAGAACGTTTAAAAGACTTTTAAAATAAGCTCCATCAAACATTTCATTTATTGGCGGATGGCATTGAGACTTTTTAACACTTTAAAATGAAGCTGGCCAGACTTTCAAGACATTTAAAAGTAAATGTCCAGACTTTTGAAAAAGCTTTTCAAATTATTTTGTACAACAGTTGATCTTTTTCTGTATTATTTATATAAGTTGAAAGTTTTCAAGTTCAAAGATTTTTGTTTAATAAAATACAATGTGTTTTCCACAAAAATTATATTTAGTTTTATTTCTATTAAAGAAAGTAGACAAAATTTACCATTTAGATAGTTATATTCAAAGCCGCATTCTAAGTGGTTAACCCTGTATTTTAAAGTTGAATTGGTATCTGAACAGTGAAGTCGTACATAAAAGCTTCGTTTGTTAATAACGTCCTGCTCAGTGTACATAAGTCACACAATATAAATTAATTCAATGAATCAATACTTATTTGCGACATTACTGAATAAAAACTCCATTTTATTTCAGGAGTTTGGCGGAGTAGACATGCTTCATGTACCCTCTACACACATCTGGTTACCTGATATTGTACTGTACAACAAGTAAGTAAAGGTTATTGTACTGTACACCAAGTATAAGTAAAGTTATTGTACTGTACAACAGGTAATTAAAGATTATAGTACTGTACAACAAAAAATAAAATGTTATTGTACAGGATGTCCCAATAAACATGGGAATTCAGAGACGAATTCGATATCGTCTTTGTTATGAATTAGCATTGTAATACCTAATTTCAAAAATCGTAATGTTATTATGTCTGCTAGAGTTTATTTTATGAAAACGGTGAATGGCTGAAAGATGTGTCTAGACGAAGTACACCCTTATGCAGTCAAAACATAAACAAACAAAATGTGAACATAGCAGACGAAACAGATTACAACTTTCTAAGTAGGTATCACTATACTAAATCAAAAACTTATTAAAAAAGACGATATCGAATTTGTCACTGAATTCCCATGTTTATTGGGACACCCTGTACTGTACAACAAGTAAGTAAAGGTTATTGTACTGTACAACAAATATTAGTAAAGTTATTGTACTGTACAACAGGTAATTAAAGGTAATTATAGTACTGTAAAACAAAATATTAAATGTTATTGTACTGTACAACCATACAGTAAAGGTTTTTTTACTGTATAACAGGTAAGTAAAGTTATTATACTGTGCAACAAGTCGGTAAAGGTTATTGTACTGTACAACAAGTATAAGTAAAATTATTATACTGTGCAACAAGTCGGTAAAGGTTANTGGCAGGTTCGAATCTAGTTTCCGATAGCATTTGTTTTCAATGCTGATCACTTTTTTTTAGTGGTGATAATATTTACTTTTAGAGCTAATAGCATTTATTTTCAGAGCTTAAAGTTTTTTTTTCAGAGCTTAAAGTATTTATATTCAGAGCTTAAAGTATTCATTTTCAGAGCTTAAAGTATTTATATTCAGAGCTGATAACATTTATTTTCAAGCTGATATTGTTAATTTTCAGAGCTGATATTATTTACTTTCAGAGTTATGAAAGCATTTATTTTCAGTGCTGGCTGATAGCATTTATTTTCAGTGCTGATAGCATTTTTTCAGTGCTGATAGCATTTATTTTTAGAGCTGATAGCATTTATTTTTAGTGCTGATAGCATTTTTTTCAGAGCTGATAGTATTTATTTTCAGAGATGGTAGCATTTATCTTCATTGCTGATAGCATTTATTTTCGTAGCTGATAGCATTTATTTTCAGAGATTATAGCATTTATTTTCAGAGATTATAGCATTTATTTTCAGAGATTATAGCATTTATTTTCAGTGCTGATAGCATTTATTTTCAGAGATTATAGCATTTATTTTCAGAGATGATAGTATTTTTTTCAGTGCTGATAGTATTTATTTTCAATGCTGATAGCATTTATTTTCAGTGCTGATAACATTTATTTTTAGTGCTGATAACATTTATTTTTAGCGCTGACAGCATTTATTTTCAATGCTGATGACATTTATCTTCAGCGCCGATAATATATATTTTTAGTGCTGATAACATTTATTTTCAGTGCTGATGGGAATTTTGAAGTGACACTTGCAACAAAAGCTACGCTTTACCACTCAGGTCTCAATATTTTTTTATTTTAATTAGAATTATTTTTAGGAATTATTTATTTATCAATCTTTTAAACCTGAGAAAAATTTCTTTAACTTAATTGTTTGACAAATTTATCTAAACAAGCTTTAATTTCACTTTGTATCTTTACTAAGCAATATGTCAACCCTAGGAATAGGAGTAGGAGTAGGAGTAGGATGTGCATCGTTTTCTTTTTATAAAGAATTTTTTGTGAACGATTGTAACGTTAAGAAAAATTAACAAAAAATGAAGTAACAAAGGAATCGTTCATTGAATTAAAATCCCGATCGTTCTCTCCAGGATCGTGTTAACTATGTTTATTTATTTATCTATGGTTAACTATTGTTCGATTTTATTGAATGAACGATATCTCTAAACGAACTAAAATTAACGATGACAAATCGAGCAATTCAAATTTTCACTGAATGATTTTGAAAAATTGGGTCGTTAACGAATTTTGAACGAATGAATTGTAATTGTCTGTTTTACGGTTTGTTGTATCAAATAAACGGCGAAAGAGGCGCGCTAAGCAACCTGAAATCCTAAAATCAGAAAGCTTATAATTCAAAGTAAACCTCCATGGTTTCTGACAAAACTATATTTAAATACTATAGGGCTGTCACAACAAATATTTAATATTATGGAAGATATAAATTAGAACATTATATTTAACCTTTCTTAAAGATCTATCTATCTATCTATCTATCTAACTATCCTTCTATCTAACTATCTAACTATCTATCTATCTCGGGAAACTATAAAGTACAATTACAATTTGGTGAGGGGGGGAAATGGAAGCACCAAACGTTTTATTAATTGTTTCCATTCAAAACTCCTTCTACTTTTTCCATCTCCTTCTTAACCTATTCTACGTTGTTGTTAGGTTTTATAAGATTTAGAAACTCTTACATTTCATAATTTTCTATTTCATTTTTTTTAATCATTTAAAGTCTGGGTGTTTGTCAATAAATGTTAGATTAGTCTACATGAAGAAATTAATAGAAGATTTATTTTTATTTTTGTATTTTTAATAAACAAAATGAATTATTTTTTGATCGATTAACACTTTTCTTGTTTATGATTATCATCAGTTTGGAAAATTTGTTAAAAAGTTAGTGAAGAGTGAATATGGTGCCACCTAACTTTAATACTTTTTACAAGAAAGTTTCAGAACCCTTCAAACTTCTAACTGTTGTATGTCTAGGATCCAGAATTTTTGCCATGCAAAATCATTGAGAAGGCGAGATAGATTTTTCTAATCCGTACCTAAGGGAACTGTAGAGAGTGCATGGCATGTCTGATTCACATCACATTATTTGTCACATCTAGTGTGCAAACATATCAATAATTTTGATCATTTCAATTTGATCAAAGAAAAACATGGAGAAAATATTTTGAATTAACTATTTTTTAATCTAGAAAAAAAACGATATCTTGCACCTTAAATATCAGATAAGGGTACCATTGTGAATTGGACTTGTCCCTCTTTATCAGGAAAACTTAACTTGCAAATTTACAAGAAAAGTCTCTTTAAAGAACCATTATTTTTTCTTCGATCAGAGCTGAAAACTTTAAAATGCGATATCCTTTATCCCGATCTGTTAATTAATCTGGAGATTAATAACAAGAGAAGAACAAGCATTATTTAATCTGGAGATTAATAAAAAGAGAAGATCAAGCAATGATCTTGATATCCACCATCCAAAAGTTTTCAGCTCAGGCAAATCTTGTGTGTCGAAGTTAACATTTTACACTCGAATGTACTAGAAGCTGTAATGTTTGAAGAATATAATTATTATGGAACTGAGTCACAAACTCAAATTTTATAGATCATATATGTTTGGAGGCATGATTCACTTTAAACTAACTACAAAGAAGTATCTACATCCTGTCTCTATCGACATATGTTTAGTCATAGTTTAATCTCTTATTCAAAATTTGTCAAAAATACTTAAATACAATTAAACCGTTTGAATACATAGTACAACAAAAACATATAAAATAGCAAATACGAAAATTTCCATTGAATAACAACTGGGTTCTAAATTTCAGACTCACTGGACTTTAAACCAGGACAACTAGTTTACTGTGGAATTTGCACACCTTTGATATTTCCAACTATTTTATCTAATAGTATGTATAATTTTCCTTATAAAAGGTCTACGACATTGGTTTGCGAAGGGATTAAAACTTTTTTTGGCAAAACTTTGTTTCTTTGTCAGATCTGCATGCATCCTTTCATATTAATATCCTTGAACTTTAAACTAGGATACCTCATACTAATATACAATCAAACTTATAGTTATGATTTAACTAGCCTATTTACTCCTACTTTTAGCTGACTTTTTGGTATACAAAAAAATTGTATTATTTTTGGAAATATATTGTTTTGTATTAATTGCAAATAAATATTAATTGCTAATGAGCATTAATTGCAAATAAGTATTAATTGCAAACTTGTAAATGAGAATTAATTGAAAATGAGTATTAATTTCAAATAAGTATTAATTGCATGTGAATATTAATTGCATATGAGTATTAATTGAAAATGAGTATTAATTACAAATGGGTATTAATTGAAAACGAGCATTAATTGCAAATGAGTATTAATTGCAAATGAGTATTAATTGCAAATGAGTATTAATTGCAAATGAGTATTAATTGCAAATGAGTATTAATTGCAAACGATTATTAATTGCAAACGATTATTAATTGCAAATGAGTATTAATTGCAAATGAATATTAATTGCAAACGAGTATTATTTGCAAATGAGTATTAATTGAAAATGAGTACATTAATTGCAAATGAGTATTAATTGCAAATGAATATAAATTGCAAATGAGTATTAATTGTAAACGAGTATTAATTGCAATTTAGTATTAATTGCAAATGAGTATTAATTGCAATTGCTGCTGATTGTAAGTTGTAAGTTGATTGGATGAAGAATACATCCATGTTTGATTGGCAACTTATTTTGATTGCCACACAATATGGATTGCAGCTGGTTTGTTTGCAATTGAGTAGTAATTGCAATTGAACATGTTCCATTGAGGTTTATAAACATTGAAACAGATTTCAGAAACAAAAACAAGACGCATTTACAATATTAATATTTTTCCAGCTAAATCTAATTTTTTAATTCTTTGAAACTTGATGGCGTGAACCTTTGATATTTATTTTTCCAGCATTCACAGTTTGAAATATCTAAGGTGTCTGCGACATAGGGTTGGAAAGATATGGAAAGTAGAAAATCAGAGTTTGGGACAAAGACTCAATTTCTTTGTATCTGGTAGGATTAGTTGAATGGAAGCCTCCAGCTATCTACCACTCCTCCTGTGAGATGGACGTCGAGTACTTCCCCTTCGACGAGCAGACCTGCGTCATGAAGTTCGGAAGTTGGACCTACGACGGATTCCAGGTACAGTTTTCAGCTTAAAAACGCAGGAATAGGGTCTGTTAGGGATAGTATATAGGATAGTATATAGGATAGTATATAGGCTAGTATATAGGATAGTATAAATGAAAGTATATAGGATAGTATATAGGATAGGTTTTGGTTAGTTTAGTGGAATTTAGGATAGTTTATAGGATAGTATATAGGATAGTATATAGGATAGTATATAGGATAGTATAAATGATAGTATATAGGATAGTATATAGGATAGGTTTTGGTTAGTTTAGTGGAATTTAGGTCCAGGGTTAGCCATGTACTAATCTAGCCTGTCTCTCCTCACTTAATCTTTATATTGCTAAACTGCCTCTAACTCTAATTGTCAGTCAACCCTGACTGCTGTATGGCTAAACCACATCTTACTCTAATAATCAGTCTAACCAAGCTGATTCCGTCTCTACTGAACGAGAGTCTGTATTCAACTGATTTATTTATAAACATGGTTATACGGGCCGGTATGACCGGCCAGGTTACAAAAGATAAAGATAGAATTATAATGCAAAATATGAATAACATAGTAAGGTAGATAGTTAGCGATACAGCTACTGCAGAATTCGTTACATCCACAAAGGATGACACTTTACCAAAGACCTAAAACTCATGACGTATGCAGATCTTAAGGTAAAAGGAATTGAGTTTTTGCCACAATCTTTGATTTTCTATAAATCCCAATATCTTTCTAACCCAAGGTCGTAGACCTTAGATATTTCAAACTATTATTTCTTTAAGATTAAATAATCTTAGTCCAAAATATCAAAGGTTTACACCATCAGGTTGCAAAGATATAGGAATAATAAAATTTGAGTTTGTAGCAAAAACTCAATTCCTTTGACCCCTAGTCAGCTTAAATACTGCCTAAATTAAAAGATTTGGCAAAGAAATACAAAAGTTTTGAGTTGCCAGGAACCAAGATAACCAAAAAATGTCTGCAAAAATTCTGCACTTAAAGGGACTGTAAAGGAAAAATGAAAGGGGTATAGGCTGAAAGCCAATCACTTTAGCTCTCGATCGCGACCCATTAATGTCATATCTGATGTTCCTATCTCGAGAAATTGATATACAACTTTGTCAAATTTATACGAAAATCAATATATATACAATTTTGTATAAAAGTAGTAGGTTTAAAAAGCTCATATTCAGCAAATAAGCAACCAATCTGAAAACGATGATATCCCAGAGAAAGCTATTTGTAAATTAGGTTTACTTTTATATTTGTTATTTCTATTTTTAATAGATTTCATTCATAATATTATTAATACGTCCGTATTACTTGACCGGAAATTCCACCAATGGCAGAGAAGTAAAGTGGTCACGTGATACAGGCGGAGACACGTGACCAGTATCCTGCTCTGCCATTGGTGATAGTTCTGGTCACGTGATTTAAGTTTAAGATTTTATCAATTTTACATATATGAACTTTCGTATAATTTTAACACAGTTTTATATCAATTTCTCGAGACAGGAACATCAGATAAAACTTTCATGGGTCGCAATCAAGAGCTAAAGTGATTAGCTTTCAGCCTATACCCCCTTTCATTTTTCCTTTACAGTCCCTTTAAGTCTCATTTGTTTTAGTTTTAAGAAACTTATTTCCAACTATTTTATCTAATTTTCAGATTCACTGGACAACTAGTTTACCGTGGATATTGTAAACCTTTGATATTTCCAACTATTTTATCTAATAGTATGTATAATTTTCCTTATAAAAGGTCTACGACATTGGTTTGCAAAGGGATTAAAACTTTTTTTGGCAAAACAGCATTCATAGTTTGAAATATCTAAGGCGTCTACGACATAGGGTTGCACAGATATAGAAAGTAGAAAATCAGAGTTTGGGACAAAGACTCATTTTCTTTGTATATGTTAGGATTAGTTGAATGGAAGCCTCCAGCTATCTACCACTCCTCCTGTGAGATGGACGTCGAGTACTTCCCCTTCGACGAGCAGACCTGCGTCATGAAGTTCGGAAGTTGGACCTACGACGGATTCCAGGTACAGTTTTCAGCTGAAAAACGCCGGAATAGGGTCTGTTAGGGATAGTATATAGGATAGTATATAGGATAGTATATAGGATAGTATAAATGAAAGTATATAGGATAGTATATAGGATAGGTTTTGGTTAGTTTAGTGGAATTTAGGATAGTATATAGGATAGTATATAGGATAGTATATAGGATAGTATATAGGATAGTATATAGGATAGTATATAGGATAGGTTTTGGTTAGTTTAGTGGAATATAGGTACAGGGTTATCCACAAAGGATGAAACTTTACCCTGACCCAAAACTCATGAAGTATGCCGATCTTAAGGTGAAAGGAATTGAGTTTTTTTGCCACAATCTTTGATTTTGTATAAATCCCAATATCTTTCTAATCCAATGTCGTAGACCTTAGATATTTCAAACAATTAATTCTTTAAGATTTCATAACCTAAGTTCAGGTTGCGAAGATATAGGGATTATAAAATTTGAGTTTGTAGCAAAGACTCAATTCCTTTGACTAGGGAGTTGGCTTAAATACTGCCTAAATTAAAATATTTGGCAAAGAAATAGAAAAGTTTTAAGTTACCAGGAACCAAGATTACCAGAAAATTCTGCACAATTGTCACTTAAGTCATAATTGTTTCTCATGCAGCTTTAGTAAACATATCTTAGTTAAACTAGTCAGCCAGCCTTTATTTAGGCAAATACCAATTCAATAATCAATTAATATATTTTCTGCAGTAATAATAAATCATAACAGATTTTAACAAAACATTCGTAAATAAAAATCATGTAGAACTACTGCAGCAGGAGAGCTTTGATAGCTTGGAACTGTTTTCATAAAGCTCTCCTGTGATCCTCCTTAATATAAAGATAATTTTTTGAACAATGTAAACTGAATTGGTTAACAGACACACTATCCAAGTAGTTTACATTCAGAAACCAAGGAGACATAAACAATCATTCATCATTTCCTTTAGGCTCCATTGAACAACGACAATATCTAGTAGCTTGAACATGCATAGCAAATATCAAATGCTTTTAAAGGATAGTTTAAGATCTAGTCTCAACCCAACCCTGGTTTAAGATCTAGTCTCGACCTAACCCTGATTTAAGATTTAGTCTCAACCTAACCCTGATTTAAGATCTAGTCTTAAGTAAACAATAATTCAAGCTCAAGACTCAATCCAACTAAGACTAGTTTAAGATCTAATCTCAACCCAACGCTGATTTGAGATCTAGTCTAAACCCAACCATGATTTGAGATGTAGTCTCAAACAAACCCTGATTTAAGATGTAGTCTCAACCCAACCATGATTAAAGATCTAGTCTCAACCCAATCATGATTAAAGATCTAGTTTTAACCCAACCATGATTTCAGATCTAGTCACAACCTAACCATGATTAAAGATCTAGTATTAACCCAACCATGATTTCAGATCTAGTCACAACCTAACCATGATTAAATATCTAGTATTAACCCAACCATGATTTAAGATCTAGTCTCAAACCAACCATGATTAAAGATCTAGTATTAACCCAACCATGATTTAAGATCTAGTATTAACCAAACCATGATTTAAGATCTAGTCTCAACCCAACCATGATTAAATATCTAGTCTCAACCCAACCATGATTTAAGATCTAGTATTAACCCAACCATGATTAAATATCTAGTCTCAACCCAACCATGATTTAAGATCTAGTCTNTCGTTGTTCTTTTACCTGATTTTATGCTTCATGATATTTACTAAATATTTAACTTGATTTTTTAAATTTTTTTCTCTCCTTTCTGACAATTTTATTTACACTGCTCATAAGGTAGATAGATAGCTTTTACTTTATTTAATTGTTAAAATGTATCTACATTTTCATGAGAAGATTATGAAAGTCGACTTTGCGATCAAACTCAGTAAATATGAATAGTGGAAACGTCATTTATGTCTCAAATGAATCCTAAAGAATGTGTCCACAATAATTCACTTCAACCACCATGCATTGCCGGTCACTCCCTTTAAAGATTAATTGAATTTGTTTAGGTAGACTTGAGACATCAAGATGACAAAATGCCTCTCACTGGACATAAAACAGCAACAACCAGGTTATTATTGTTTACATTTATTTGACACTTGTGACATTAAACAAGCTTCAAATATGTTTAGCATAATTTATAAATGTATTTTTATGTTCACAAGACATTGGTGGAAAGTTTCACAATAAAAGTACTTTTTGGGGAAAAATTTGAAAAAAGAACTAATTTTTATTAACGTATTTAAAAATGTAAGAAGAAAAAGGGTGGGTGTATGGGTGACGGTGCAAAAAAAAAAATTTTCGACTGTTTAGTGTTTAGGTTAATTTTAAGCCTTAATTTTGGACCAAATTTGACGATTTTGGACATTTTGAATATGGCTTAAAGCACCAGATTACTTCTTTTCGTTCAGACATCAAAAATGTCAAAAATTGTCAAAATTGGTCCAAAAATGAGGCTATAGCAGTTTGTTTTTTGAGACACCCTGTATAATATTTTTTTTTACTTTAGTAAAGAAGAGCTTGAGTCTAAAGCCCCAGACATTGTTGAAATTGGAATAGATCTCAAGGAGTTCTATAAATCAGGTAAAATCAGAATAGAGATGGACGCGTTCGGTTTTTTTTCCATTTTGTTCCTTCATCGTTCGTGAACGACCAATTTTATTTTGAACGTTCTCAAAAATATAATTCCTTTTCAATCTATTTCGTTCGTTTTCTCATTCCTCTGAACGATCCAAGTCGTTCGTCCATCGTTTGTTATTTTATTTCTGAACGACACCATTGTTCATAAAAAATGTTGTGCGTTCTCTAAAATATCGTTCGTTCTCAAAAAGGTTGTTTGTTCTAAATAAGAATATCTGGAAATTGGAAGACGGCATTTGAGTAATTTTATGTGTTTTTGATGGTGTTATACTGCTAATTGTTTACCTGTTAGCTGTAACTATTAACACTAATTATCAATTGAAATATGAGTCTGTATAGTTAGTTGTATGCACACCAGACATATTAATTATTAGACTATTTTAAACCATAATTTGAGTCTAAAAGTCTTATTTTTTTTCGGTTTTTATTTTTTTCCAAAATTCTATTTTGAAATTATTTTTTTCACTGACATTTTTTATTAAACCCATGTAATGGGGTGTAACATAGGCTAAAAATCTATTTTTTTTAGATTTTTAACATTTGTGTCGAAAAAACATTTGAGTTCATGAATTATGATTTATTGTAAAAAATCTAATCTAACCTTTAAACATGGTCAAATTTTCATTGCAAAGGATTTGAGTGTTTTACATATAAAGGTTCTTCAATGGAGCCAATTTGAGAAAAACTAAGTTAGAAGAAAGAATCTTGCGCTTAGATGACTTTAAAGAATAGAAATATATTTGTTAATATTTCATTATGTTATTTTTTTTAATTTAGGTTCAGAGCCTTTAGCAGTTTTTTCTTTGCATTTACAATTCTTATGTCAAAATTATTTATAATTGTAGATATAATGTATCTAATATCTAAAACTATGCAAATGTGTATTTCAATCGGTGGAATGTAATTATAAAGTCAGTAAGTTAGATTATTCAAGAGCCAAAATACAAATAACTAGCACACGCAAAACTAAAGTAAATAATAACTAGCACACGCCAAGCTAAAGTAAATAATAACTAGCAAACGCCAAACTAAAGTAAATAATAACTAGCAAACGCCAAACTAAAGTAAATAATAACTAGCACACTTCAAACAAAAGTAAATAATAACTAGCACGCTTCAAACAAAAGGAAATTGAAATTAAAATCATATATATTTCCAATAATAATAACGCCTTTCATTAAAAAACTGTTTAGAAAAACAAAATTACTCAAACTTCTATTATGTAACCGCCAACTGGATAAATTCGTAGATTTGATACTTGTGCATAAAATCAAAACTAGAGGAACTACGAAATCACAAAGTCGTACCAGTGATTTTTCTTTTCCCTTGTGTCTACTTTGCAGTACGCAGTGAGCATCAAACACTATAAAGTGAAGATTTTCGATTTTTCTATTGAAAGGTTTATTTTTTTATGTTTGTATAAAGCAAATACAATGAAAAATAGAGTTTACGAAATATGATGAAAAATATATTTTATCCGCTACTCGACTATCCTTAAAATTGTGCTCCTTGACTGAATTTAATTAATTTGAGCTAGGTCGCTAAACTATACGACTGCCGGTTCAAATTTGAATCACAGATTCCAATGTAAATATGAGGTTTGGATCTGTGATTCAGGATTTGAATTGGTGGTGGGTGTTTAGCGACGTCTACAATTCATTAAATTTTGTCCCCCCCCCCCTTACAACTTTAATTATAAATTTTATATAAAAAAATTAGAAATTTCTATATTATTCATATTTCAAAGCTTTCTTTAAGATTTAAAGTTTAAAATAGAAATAATATTTTGATATAATATTTTAATATTTTGATATAATATTTAAATATTTTGATGTCATCTTTTGACAAAAATAACCAATTATATTACTGCTCTGCAATATATAGTTTTATTTAAAAAAGAACTAGTTTTTTAAACATCATGCAATGAATTTTCGCTTAAGATGTGCTCTAACAGAATCAGTAAAATTCGATTTTTTTATAAGTTTGCATTTATTTTTTCTATTACAAAAGATATTAACAAAATGGTTTATCAAAGCGGTTTATCAAAGCGGTTTATCAAAACGGTTTATCAAAACGGTTTATCAAAACGGTTTATCAAAACGGTTTATCAAAACGGTTTTTCGTAACGGTTATTTTGTCATTTGTTTAGAAAAATCTTTTTGTATAATTTTGTATAATTTTGGTCAGAGTAAACTTTTTGCATAATGTAATGAACCAAACTTTTCGATCGCACAATTTTGAAATAGGTTTAACATTTCAGATTCTTGCTTGGAGTCTTTTAAAACTCCAATAACCTTGAATATTTAAAAACTGATTTCAAAACGTAAATAATACTTTCAGAACTTTCTTTCTTCTTCTGTTTTAAAACTATTTTCTTTAAACTCATGTGAATATTCTCATAACGCTTCACGTTGTAAATCTTTTCATTGTTCGAGGATTTGCATAGTTTAAAATTTATCAACATTCATCTTGGAAATATTGAGTTATTTCAAAATATTTAAAAAATATTGAAAAGGGTTACTTGATTCAGATACAGGGTTACTTGATTCAGATACAGGGTTACTTGATTCAGATACAGGGTTTCCCACAAAGAATGAGATTTCAGAGACGACTATACGGAAATAATACTGAATCGGTTTTCTTAAATTGATGCTTCCCGAAGCACGGGCAGCCGTAGTACATTTAAATTTTCCAAGCCGGGTCAACCTTTCCGGTCCCAGTTTGTACTGTACCTAACTCTATGGACAAGACTAGCCGGACTTTAAGCTTCATATAGGTTGAATTACTTTTACTAAAAAGGCAAAGGTGCGTGTGTGACATTAAACTTATTTTTTCCTTTGCTAAATTATAAAAAAAGTCATAAAAAGACTATTTTCTAGACAGAAGACGTAATTTAACCTTGAAATATTTTCAGAATTTCAAGTCGTCTTTTTACAGTCTCATCCTCGATGGATACCCTGTATCAAACAATTTTACGCCTGAATTTGAAGTGTTGTCTTCAATGTTGTTGTTATTACGTCATGTTGTTATTACGTCATGTTGTTATTACGTCAAAACAGCTGAACCAAACGGGTCCATTTTTGGTGTGGTAATCCCGACCAGGGAAGGTGTATGGTTGGTCAAAGTTAGGAAAAAACCTTTTTTCCATTTCCGAAAAGTTTTACCAAATTTTGTTAAATCTGCCATCATTAAAAAAAAAATATGTTTCAATGTTAATTATCCAATTATAGAATATTGCTATACATGCAAGCAATGACACATGAAAATAGCCCTAGTCAAAATTCAAAATTTGAATTTACATTAATGTAAACAAAAATCCTCAAAAATGTTCAGGTAAGGATTACGAAAACAATATAGCGGCTTGTATATCTGGAGACACCTTTTTAAAATTCTGAGCATCCATAAACCTTCCCTGGCCGGGGTCATGTGAGGCCCCACATAAAAGTTGGACTCAAACAGTTCAGTCGTTTGTTTGTCTGTTTGTATCCAATAAACGTTTAAACACCCAGACAGACAAAAGCAAAGTATTGTATATGATTTTATGATTTCAGTTGAGTGGGATATTCTGGGAGTACCTGCAGCTAGGAATGTTAAGTTCTACACTTGCTGTGATGAACCATACCTGGATATTACATTTAACATCACTATGAGGAGGTAGGAATAATTAACATCACTATGACGAGGTAGGAATATTTAACATCACCATGAGGAGGTAGGAATATTTAACATCACCATGAGGAGAATATTTAACATCACCATGAGGAGGTATGAATATTTAACATCACCATGAGGAGGTAGGAATATTTAACATCACCATGAGGAGGTAGGAATATTTAACATCACCATGAGGAGGTATGAATATTTAACATCACCATGAGGAGGTAGGAATATTTGACATCACTATGAGGAGGTAGGAATATTTAACATCACTATGAGGAGGTAGGAATATTTGACATCATTATGAGGCGGTAGGAATATTTAGCATCACTATGAGGAGGTAGGAATATTTAACATCACCATGAGGAGGTAGGAATATTTAACATCACCATGAGGAGGTAGGAATATTTAACATCACTATGAGGAGGTAGGAATATTTAACATCGCCATGAGGAGGTATGAATATTTAACATCACCATGAGGAGGTATGAATATTTAACATCACCATGAGGAGGTAGGAATATTTAACATCACTATGAGGAGGTAGGAATATTTAACACCACTATTTAATAGATCTCTGTAGATACTCTCTTATCAATAAACACTAAACACACATTTTTGATGTCATTGCAAACATATATGTAAGTTTCTTATGTTACGTTTGAGAAATGTGTACTGCATTAATTCTATGTGTTAAATGCAGGGAGTAAATAATAGAAGGGATATATGACGCGGTTCGCCCTACCATATGATTATGCATGCTTTGTAGATGGTACCTCATTTGAATAAGAAATATTTGTCTGATGTACAATTACCGCGTATACAATAACCTACTCTGAATATTTCATATACAAATGAAGTACCGTCTGCAAAGCATGTATAATCATATAGATATATGATAACATACATGTTTAATTTAAGTAAAACCAAATAAAAGGAAAAGGAGGAAAATGAAAAGTAGTAGATAGAGGAAAGGTATTAGAATAGAGAGGAAAAGAAGAAGAAAGGATCGTATGGGGGGGGGACAACCCAGCATACAAAGTTTATAATGTTTATGTTTTATTTTGTTTATTATGGTAGGGCAAACCGCGTCAGTCATATCTCCCTTCCATTATTTACTCCGCATGGTTAAATGATGTTAATATTATTCCGTAATATAACTGATAATCTTCTGTAGAATAATATATACATCGCTTGAAGTTTTCTTTAGTTCAGTACAAACTTTTCAGAAGAACCTGAACATGTTGTTCAAAATTGCGAACAGAATGTAAAGTTTCCCGAACATTTTGTTCATAATTCAAAATCGTTTTGATAAATCGTTTTATTTAAAATCTTGTGTTAAGGTTTACCTTAATGTAATAAAAGCAAACTTTTAGAAAATCGGATTTGGATTTAAAGCCAGAAAACCTTGAATGTGTGAAAACGAACCCCATCCACATCATGTTGGATCAATAAAGATTCCATGGATTTTGATGTTGAAAACACTACGACTAAGACAACCTGGATTCTGGAAAGCGTTATTCCGAAAACTTCCTTTCCGAGTTTTGTCTCTTTGAAATTTTTCGATGGGCGGATTTTTGGTAACTAATAATTTGGTATTTAACAATTTGGTAACTAACAATATGGTAATTAATAATTTGATAACTAACAATTTGGCCACTAACAATTTGATAACTAACGATTTGGTAACCTCGCAATTTGGTTACTAACGATTTGGTAATTAACAATTTGGTAACTTGACAATTTGGTAACCTCACAATTTGGTTAGGTTATGTTAAATCGATTTTTGGGCCGAGCGCTGCGGCTAAGACAGGCTAGGGGGCCGAGCACTGTGGCCATTTTTATCAAAACTAATACAGTAATATTCGATATGTAGGGTTAGGTTAGGTTAAGACAATATCTGGGCCGAGCGACTTATTTATCAAACTAATAAATTGTTAGCCGAAATTTTGGAAAAGACTGGGTTAAGACCATTTCTGGGCCAAGCGCTGCGGCTAGGATAGGTTTGGGGGCCAAGCGCTGTGGCCATATTTATCAAAACTAATACAGTTATATCCGATATGTGGGGTTAGGTTAGGTTAAGAAAATTTCTGGGCGAGCGTTGCGGTTAGGACAGGCTAGGGTGCCGAGTTTACAAACAGTTTTCGCGGATTTGTTATGCTAAACTTTTAAGAAATGTTTTTGTTTGCTTTTCTCTCTATGTATTCAACAAATAAATATACAAACAATGATTGTGAATCAAAGGTTTCAATCATACAAATTGTTAGTTACCAAAATTTTAGTCACCAAATTATTAGTTACCAAGAAGCCGCCAATCAATTTTTCCTGTTACCTAATTAATTTTTAGTTATTAATTTACGATAATTGATTAAATGTTTAGTAAAAATCTGTTAAAATTAGTTCTTTTGAAAAAGTTGAAAATTAGATGAAGGTATAACTATGAAGAAAATGACGTGTGTTATCAACTTGAAACTTAGAAATTTATAGTTTTACATTTATTCTAGAATTTTCAAGGAAGGAGTTTTTTCAGTAAACTCTATGGAGGGCTTTTTATACAGGGTGTCCCAAAAAACATGGGAATTCAGTGATGAATTGGATATCGTCTTTGTTATGAATTACCATTGTAATACCTAATTTCAAAATCCGTAATATTATTATGTCTGCTAGAATTTATTTTATGAAAAGGATAAAAGGCTGTAAAGATGTGTCTATAATGTCTCTGCAAGATGAACAGTGTAGACGGACAAGTTTACTCTGTTTGTATACTGCAATTTTCTTGTTTTACTAAGTACAACCGTATGGAGTCAAAACATAAACAATCAAAAAGTAAACAAAGCAGACAAAACTATTATAGATTACAGCTTTCCCAGTAGGTATCACTATACTAAATCAAAGAATTATTTAAAAAGACGATTTCGAATTCGTCACTGAATTCCCATGTTTATTGGGACACCCTGTACTTGGTTGAATATTTACTGGACAAGGGACAGTCAGGGCAAGATTTTTGAAAAATTGTTTAATGCATGATCATTTCAATTAAGTAGAATTATGTCAAACCCTATTTCTAAAAGAATGGTGTTAGTTACCTTTCCAAAGGCCTTTTCCCAAGGGCAACTTCCCAACTGGTAACTTCCCAAATGTATGTATAGGGTTAGTAATTGCCTGAGGCGTGGCAGGATACAGTTGGGGAGGGCGCTGCGGCTAGAACAGACTTAAGAAATTGCACATTTAGAAAGTTGCCACAAACCTATAATCTAAAAGCAATTTTCTTGTTAAAATTAATGATTTTTTCATTTTTTAATTTAAAATAATTTTTTATTTTTAGGAAAACCCTTTTCTACACAGTGAACCTGATAATACCCTGTATGGGAATATCTTTCCTAACAGTGCTGGTCTTCTACCTTCCTTCAGATAGCGGGGAGAAGGTATATTAGTATTCTACCTTCCTTCAGATAGCGGAGAGAAGGTATATTAGTATTCTACCTTCCTTCAGATAGCTGGGAGAAGGTATATTAGTATTCTACCTTCCTTCAGATAGCGGGGAGAAGCAATATTAGTATTCTACCTTCCTTCAGATAGCGGGAAGAAGATATATTAACATTCTACCTTCCTTCAGATAGCGGGGAGAAGGTATAGTAGTATTCTACCTTCCTTCAGATAACGGGGAGAAGGTATATTAGTATTCTAACTTCCTTCTGATAGCGGGGAGAAGGTATATTAGTATTCTATCTTCCTTCAGATAGCGGGGAGAAGGTATATTAGTATTTTACCTTCCTTCAGATAGCGGGGAGAAGGTATATTAGTATTCTACCTTCCTTCAGATAGCGGGGAGAAGGTATATTAGTATTCTAACTTCCGTCAGATAGCGGGGAGAAGGTATATTAGTATTTTACCTTCCTTCAGATAGCGGGGAGAAGGTATATGAGTATTCTACCTTCCTTCAGATAGCGGGGAGAAGGTATAGTAGTATTCTACCTTCCTTCAGATAGTGGCGAGAAGGTATATTAGTGTTCTATCTTCCTTCAGATAGCGGGGAGAAGGTATATTAGTATTCTACCTTCCTTCAGATAGAGGGGAGAAGGTATATTAGTATTTTATCTTCCTTCAGATAGCGGGGAGAAGGTATAGTAGTATTTCACCTTCCTTCAGATAGCGGGGAGAAGGTATATTAGTATTCTATCTTAATATACAAATATGCAAATATCTCTTGATTTTCATATTTGTTCTCAAATAAAACTGTTGCCCAGTTTACAAAATACAAATATGAGCCAATATTTCTCAATTATTTTGTTTTCAAATTTTCCCATAAATGCAGCTCTCTTTGATTTTCACACAGAGTGAGTCAAATAAAGGGGGAATAGCGAGATCCTTCATATAATAAAGCATTTTATTTGGTAGTCTAATTTTAGACAAAAACATTTAATAAATTATTATTTTTTTAATAGGCATTCTGATAAACCCTTTCTAAAATCCGCGAAGCTATTTTTACTCAAAATTATATGAGCAGTAAAGCAAAAGTATGTACATTTTTTTTATTATTTTGATGATTTAATTCTTTCAAAAGTCTTTTTATAATATGAATTTTTGAAATGTATGAACTCAAGTAATAAGAAAATTTGCATGAAAGAGAACAAGGAAAGAGCATACTTTCGTGAATTTTTCAGTTTTTCATATTTTTTCTAAAACAAGGAAAGAGCATATTTTCGTGATTTTTTCAGTTTTTCATATCTTTATCTATATTTGCCATGTATGTCCTTATGATTTTTCCAAGGAAAGTAGAAATCTATTTTCATAATTGCTTGTTCTTTATGAGATCCTCATTTTTCCTATACCTAAAGACAATACATTTTTTGCTTGTTTTCTGCGATTTTATATTATTCTAAAATAAGATTTCAAATTTTGCGAGAATGAGGTTATATTAGGTTTTTATCCATCTATCTATCTATCTATCTATCTTAGAAGACGACATTTTCCGTACATTGGAGCGCATCGAGAGTAACCAACCTAATTATACAACCTTGGTTTTAGGTGTCCTTGTCTATAAGTATCCTTCTCTCTCTAACCGTGTTCTTCCTCCTCCTGGCAGAGATCATCCCGCCAACCTCCCTCGTAGTTCCCCTCCTTGGTAAATTTGTTCTCTTCACAATGATCTTGGATACATTTAGGTAATTTCATTTTATAGAGATTTGTCAGAATAATTTTGTTAAAAAAATACTTTCTAATTTGTCATTGAAAACAAGAAATAATTAAAATATTATTTAATGCGTGCATTAATAATCTGTTTGAAAACTACCAGTTTATCTAGGTTTATATGACGTTTTATAAATATAAGCAAAAAAATCATTGCTGACATCCAAGGGAAAGATCTGGCACCTTTTTTGAGTCTGGTTAGTTAAAAGAAAATTTAAATTTCTAAAAGCAGGGGTCGAAAATTCAAATCTTACTTTTAACCATAAACCTTACACTCACTGTCAGGTTTGAGTAAAATATTGGTTTCGAACTTTTTTACCCTGGAATAGGGAGTAAAGTTCTGAAAGATCTGACACATTCTTTATGTCTTATTAGTTAAAATTCGTTTTTAAAAAGCAGGGGTCGAAAGTTCCAAATCCTGCTTTTGATCACAAACCTGACTCTCGCTGTCAGGTTTGAGCCAAATCTTGCTTTGGAACTTTCTTCCCCTGGAATAAGGAGAAATTTTTTTAAAGTTACAAGGGGTGCTTTGGAAGGGATTGAAGAGAAGGAAAGGAATGGTGGGGGGTGCGGGGTATTGAAACCCATTATGATATTGGTTTTGGCTTTTCTCTTGATGTATTTTCAGATGAAACATTACAGACTTTTTTCCAATATATCACAGATATGCATTTACTCTTTGCAACGAAATATTTCTTATTTTACAAATTTCGCACATTAAATTAAAAATCAAATTTCAACCTTTCATCAACTCATAAACTGAGATACAGGGTGGATTCACGACAAATATAGATACAGGGTGGATTCACGACAAACTGAGATACAGGGTGGATTCATGACAAACTAAAATAAATTTCACAACAAATATTTTCTTAAAACAAAAAAGAAATGCATCCAGTTGTAACGAAAGCATGCATTTTGGTATAAAAATGAAAAGTTGTACTCAAAGGTTTTCCTTGTACACAATCTCTTCTATTTAGAAAATCTTTGTGTAAATTATTAATGTACTTGGTTTTGTTCATCTTTTAATAGACACACTTTTTTAATTATTCACATAATGCTGAACCAAATATAAAACTTTAATTACATTGACAACTTTTCGCATGCTCTATTTGGCTAAAAGACCAGTGGGGTAATCTATGATACAGCTACAGGCTTAACCAAAAAAGAGACTTCAGAGACGACTGTACGGAATTCATTGGGTTCTTTTCTTACTTTTATGCTTCCCGAGTCCGAATTTAATAAATTTTAGCAGCGTCTCAAATCCGCCAAAAACTGGTTTTAATTAATCGCCGGCTTAAATCTTGAAACATTATATACAATTTTAAATAGAACCACACATATTTGAGCTGCGCCTTAAATTCTTTAAACTCGGCCTCTTCATATGTTTAAAAACCAGCTTGTTCTTCCTTGCTTGATTCTGGGACCGAATTTAATAGATTTAATCATGATCTTTCATTCACTTCGGATAATAATAGAATAGAATTCGAAAAACTTGAACAAAAGAATAAAAGATAAAAGAATTGCGATACAAAAATATAATATTATGTAACTACTTTCGGATGGGCTTAAAATACGCAATTAATAAAAGTTGCATTATCCGAGCTGGTACAACATGTACTGTACATGCATTCAGTCATACTGTCCATTCTGGACTACCTAGTGTAGAGTTGACTCAGCACGTTTTATGCAAGATCACGGTGCGCGCGTTCTCTTTTCAGAGACATTNCCATTTAATCAATTAATCAACAATTTAATCAATTAATCAACCATTTAATCAATTAATCAACCATTTAATCAACTAATTAACCATTTAATCAATTAATTAACCATTTAATCAATTAATATCAACTAATAAATTACTTTATCTTCGGTCAGTGTACGACAATTTACTACAGAAAGCACCTAAAGCTTAGTTGAGATTAATCAATCGTTTAATTGGAAAAAGAGAATGAATACTTTTTACAGTACACTATCAAATAGCGAAACTGTTTTAAAACATTCGATTTTTGTCATCTGTGTTGCCAAATTACAAACTCCAAAATATAAACTCCTAAAATACAATTAAACTCCTTAAATACAAACTCCTGAAATACAGACTCCTGAAATACAAACTCCTGTAATACAAACTCCTGAAATACAAACTCCTGAAATACAAACTCCTGAAATACAAACTCGTGTACATCAAAACTCCTGAAAAGACAAACTTCTGAATTACAAACTCCTGAAAAACAAAGACCTGCAATACAAACTCCTGAAAGAAAAACTCCTGCAAGCATACACACCTTAATTTTTTCCCTGGCATTTTCTGTGGCACACAGAAGGCCTGACCTAACCTAAGAAAATAAAAAAAAATGGTGTACTTCATTCTATAAAGCAATTGAGTCTTTGGAACAAAATCAAATATTTAAACCACAATATCTTTAGAACTCGATGTTTTAAACCTTTGATATTTCAAACTCGGATTACTTGATCTAACAGAATTCATAGTTTGAAATATCTAAGGTCTACAACATTTGGTTCCAAAGATATAGTGATTAGAAAATTGTGGCCAAGACTCAATTCCTTTTCCAGAGATTATCTTTTTATTGTATTTCAGGAGTTTCTCATGACATAAATATTTGATGAGGAAAAAATATATGGATGAATTTTGGTTCCTTGGAAACGCCCAAATGAATTAATTTTGTCCAACTTTTCGGATGATCGTTTTAAAGATTGGATATCGGAGCATAGACAATTAGATAGATATATAGCTATAGATTAGGAGAGTGAAATAAGAGTAGACTTAAAGGGAGTGTTCGTGAAAAATGAAAGGGGGTATGGGCTGATATCCAATTGAATTTAATATCGACCGCTACCTTTAAATTTTCTCTGTTACGTCTATAAGGAGAAAAGTTTAAAAACGACTCATACCAAAGAACCCATACAATTACAAGTTCACGGAGTTTCATTACTCTAATAATCAGATCGTAAATAGTTCAATTAAAATTAAAATCAATGATTCAGATATACCAACTTATACATGTCGAATTCAATTCAATGCTTTCGTATATATAATTAATATTTTTTAATAATTTAAATTTTCTTAATACTTTAAACTACTCATACAAATACAAGAACAGATACAAGTTCACGGAGTTAGATTATTCCAATCAGATTGTAAATAGTTCAATTAAATTTAAATTCAATCATTCAGATATTAGTCTAGATATTCATTGTTTGCAAAGATATTGACATTCTTATTTAGATATTCATATTCTTATTTAGATATTCATATTGTTATTTAGATATCAATATTATTATATTGATATTCATATTGTTATTTAGATATTCTTATTCTTATTTAGATATTCATATTCACAAAAAAGCCCAATCGGAATAGGATCCTGGATATCCATTTTAAAGAATCATCATAAAGTTTTTAAAATTTTAAGGGAAATTTATTGTTCTGGAGGAATTAAATTAAAAATCTAAATATTTTTAAAACATCAATATTTTATTTTGTATTTCTTTTAAAAATATATATTATTCAGAACGCCTTGTAATGGTTATGAGTTCCCATTAATTCCCACTCATACTCCACCACACTCGTTTAACAGGTAGTACGAAATATAGCATGTTGGGACCCCCCCCCCCCCCCCTCCCATTTTTGGCACTAACTTACTTTTGGGTTCTTGTCCTTGGGCGTGTAAGTTCAAAACTGCACAAAATTAAAACTTATCAAATAAATCTGTTTTTAAAAAGAACAAATTAAATTTTGATTAAATATTTTCAACTCAATGTGAACACTTAGGGTTATTTTTTAGACAAAATACAGTTCCTAAAATGATTTATGTTCATATTTTTTATTTTTGTGGAATATTTAGAACGAGTTCCTTAATAATATTTATTTCCAGGGCCCAGAATGGACTTAGTATGGAAACATCAAGCTGTAAAATCCATGGGTATCATTCCTCTGTACAACATGTACAGGGTGTACAGGAGTATGTACAGCAAGAGCAGCATGTACACAGTACAGTACAACGGGGGTACAAGGAGAATGAATACGATCCAGTAACACAAGAAGATTGTGGTAATTATCATGATTATCATTACTATCAATTATCATTATTTTTCATCATTCGTCAAGAAACAGAAATTCATTGCCAAATGTTGAACATATTTGTTAAATTTAGATTTGCACAACTATTTATGACGGATATCAAATTCAATTTATGTCAAACTAAATTACAAGTAAGATTGAAATCTTTCAATCCTAACTCCTCTGATTAAAGGGAAATTGAGAAGAATATCGAATTTCTGACATTTAACCGGATAAAGGAATTGAGTTTTTGCCACAAACTCAAATCTTCCTTCCCTTCTTCTGATCCCAATATCTTTGCAATCTGATGGTGCAAACTTTTGATATTTCCCACTTGGATTATTTTATCTATAAGTATTAATAGTTTGAAATATCTAAGGTCTACGACATTGGGTTACAAAGATATAGAGATTAGAAAATCAGAGTTTGTGGCAAAAACTCAATTCCTTTGATTTTCGTAAACTTGTTCGTAAAATAAAAACTAGAGAAAAACTAGAGGTAACAACAAAATCATAAATAAAGATGGCTGCTGTTTTAAAACATCCCAAGTAGGCGTTAAAATCTATTTTTTTAATGATCCCAGCTGTAGCGACGTTAAAGAACAAAGATATAAACGGACTGAAGATATATATATTTTTTCTAAATTACAACATGGAAAAACTGCCTGAATATATTTGGTTTGGTTCTCTGAGCTTCCTGTCGATGAAGACGATAGTTCAGGGTCTCCACACCCAATCTCTAGAACCTCCCTGATTCATATGGCTTAATGAGCACGCGATTTAAAAACTCNCTATTATTGCTGTATCAACCCATTAAGAGCGAGAGCAGTTTTTCCCCTTAGAATTGGCTTAAATTTTTAACACCACCTACATTTGACCCAATATATATGGGACATCTATTTTTTTCTATTTTTCGTTTACATTTGGAGCTATGAACACAACAATCAATATCTCAAGAGATTTTCCAAGGATTCAAAAAAAGTCTTTCAGACATCTTTGTTTATTTATATTCCGAAAACGTCGATATCAACGTTTTTTACAGTATTATTTCCGAAAACGTAGATATCGACGGACTTAAAAATGGTAATGAAAACCTAACTTAAAGTGACAAATAAATTCAAATATCAAAGTGAAATAAAAATTCACTATATTTGGACACAAATAATACAAAGAGATTAAAAATACGATGAAAAACTATTTTTTTTTACCCTTTTTTACTTTTTAATATATTTTCCGCCTGATTATGATTAGCTCTGAGAGGCTTATGATAGGGAGTACAGGTGGGCCTTTATGGACATTATTTAGACTAGTTATTCTATTTGAGATATTATCGGAAACAAAAGGGGTTAAGATAGCTTAGACCAGCTATTTTCTTGTATCTTGAATGAGTGTTTGTACCTGGTGGTATTATATTATATTTGTTGGGGTAGTTACTAGTTGTTTATTGAGACATTTAGAAATTTTCCATGTATGATTTTTGACTCCATGTTGTATTTAATAAGAGATGGATATCTGTTACCTTTGAGTTGAACAAACCTAATACTTAGGGCATTAGAAAATAAAGAAACAACATCTTAAACCTTGCTTTTATGATTATATCAATCAACTGAAACTGTAGGAAAGGAGTCCAAAGCGCTGTCTCTGTGGCCGTGGGGGTGAATGCCTTTCAAGATAAATAATATTAATATTACACAAGGCTGAAGTATATGCACGGAATTGGAACACTACTGACTGCTGAGTACATAGAACTGGTGTTAAACACATCTAAAAAAGATTTAATAANGAAATACTTTCACTTAATTTACTGTTTATTATAATAATTTAATAATAATAATAATAATAAATTTATCAAGGATCAATCTATCCCGGTGTCCTGAAGTTACAAGAGCGCTGGAAGGAATTAAATATATAGCTGCAATAACACAAAGTGAAGAAGAATCAAATAAGGTAATATATTTGTTGGCCACCATTATCTTCAACAAATTAACAAAAGGGTGTAATCCTGAGCCTGCGATTGAAAAGCTTCAGCTCGAGTCTTAATTCCTTAGACCCAGGGTTAAGGCTTAATCTTAGAGAACAAAGTTGAGAATTATATGCCGACAGTTTGTATCACGTGATCGATTTAAGAAGACTTATGGAATTAGGCCGCAATGTAAATAAAACCGACCTTGATTGGTTTGAGTACAGAAGAGTTACAATGTCGAGTCCTATACCAAGTACACACAACTCTAATAAAATCCCAGAGCTCGAGCCTTAAGTTAGTCTCAATTACAGCTTAGAAGACCTGAGTCTTATTTTCCCCAATTTTTTAAATCGCGAGTTCTGAAAACCATTTTTTTAACTTTCTGAGTTGTTTAAATATCTCATTTGAATAAAGGCTTGTGTTAATGAACTCCAATTAGTAACTAATTGCTCACCTCAATTTCAAATTTTCTAATCCTTAATCTTATCTTTTCATCCTGATGGTGTACATTGTACAGTGTACACCTTTGTTATTTCAAACTTTGACCATTTATTTAAGACCTTTTGAGAATTTATTGTTTAAAATGTCAAAGATGTACGATATGGGATTCAGTGGCGCATAATCTGTGCATAATCTATTATACTAATAGTCTTTCTGATCGAAGTTCCTCTGTCTTTGCCAGTAAGGGGCTGTTTTCCTCTTGTAGTCTTCAAAAGTCCTAATTAGTCCGATAAAATCCTTATTATATATTTCTTGTTATTCTTCTTAGGTTGTCAGATTTTGTGTAATATTTTTAAGAGGATAAATTAAGAATGGCTGACTTTTTTAGGTCAAAAACGAGAAAATAGTTAGAAATTCCATTAGAAATGATGTGCGAAGCGCTAAAGCAAAATGTTGGTGTTTTTTATTAATTGGCAAAATTTGATGAAAGATGGTCCACAATCATGATCATTCTGGAGTCAAGTAAGGGGATGGGGCGAGAGGGGGGCAAGAGGGGGGCGAAATATGCCACCCCCCTAGTTGCACCACTGATGGGGTTTCAACAATATAGAGATTAAAGTTTGCGTCAAGTTTCTTTGTATATATATTTTAGAGAATAAAATCAGTAAAAAATTAGCATAGTTTCCCGCACAAATATTAAAATATGCCAAGTAAGGAATCTACTCTACATAATATTTTAGAATCCAATTTTCCAAAAGCTTAAAGTTATTTCCTTTTCCCGTTAGAAGAATATGAATATGTTTTTATTTATGCGCAAAATCATGAAAGATATATACCAAGAATCTACTTATCTTTTTGTACAAAACAATAAAATAAAAATTGTATTATATTTTTTTTTGAGGAATATAATCAAACTTAATGCTAATCATAAACCGTTTTACAATAATTTTATAAGTTTTTTTAGGGCAGAATAAATTATTTCTATTCTAAATGTACAGAAAATATCAAAGGCTTTAAAACTTTGACATTAATTATACGAATAAAGTGCGGCGTCGTCTGAATGTAATTTTCTCTTCTAATATCTGGATTTCTACCAATCTTGTTTCTAGCATTTATATCTGCAGTCCCAAAGCCCGCGATCTAAAGATTTGGGAATTAAGACTCAGGTGTGAGCTGTCATTGGGACTATTCTAAGACTTGAGCTTTCAGATTAAGATTGCAACTAACTTTCATAGAGTTGGGTTTATTAAACCGATTAAATATTTTATTTGGCAGATTTTCATGGTTGGAATTAGCGGATTTTGGGAATTTGATTAGAATAAGACTCAACATTGAGACTAATTCTCCACTAAAACCAACCAAGTTCGGTTTTGTTTTCATTATCCCTAACTCCTTAAGTCGAGCTTAAGAGCTGGCAGCTGCCGATCACGTGACACAAACTGTCGTCAGCTGATTCATAGGTTGGGTCTAAGATTGAGCCTTAAACCTGGGTCTAGGGAAATTAAGACTCGAGCTAAAGCTTTCAAATCGCGGGCAGGTATTTAATAAATTGATGAATATATCAGGCGAAGGAGGATTGGAAGTTTGTTGCAATGGTGATGGATCGACTCTTTCTTTGGATATTTACCGTTGCTGTCTTAGGTTAGATAATATTTAACTCAATCAGGTGGAGGGGGGGGGGGCTGAATCATCTAACCCCCCCCCCACCCCCTCTCTTTTCTCCGTAACTAATAAACCATCTTGAACCATCAAACGTCCTAATCTGTCAACCTTAAAATCGAGAAAAAATTTTGTCAAAAAAATAAGAATCTGACCTTTTAAAATTTGCTGTCTAGCAAGACGACTTGAATATCGTCTTTTTTTTCGAAATATGTCGCGGCATTTATTCGTAAAAGTAATTTTTGTAGCATAATCATAGATTTAATAATCACGGAATAACCCTAGTCCTGACATTTTCAAAATGGAGTCTGCTCTTTTTGTGCTTTCAATATTACCAGAGATGTGAAAAGTTTTGTTAAAATTATGACAGTTTTGGTTTTATTCCATAATTTGTTTTGAACGAAATTCTTAATATCTCCGGTAATATTTAGTTTACAGCACAAAAAAGGCAGACCAGATGTAGGAAATACCAGGACTATAAGAAGAATATTTCTGATTATAGTTTCAAGAGTCATACATGTAAAAATAGGTTGACAATTGAATGTCACAATTAAACTTAATGATCAACGACGACCTTCAAGTAAAGATCGATGGGACACCATATATGTACCATTGTACAATAATGATTATTCACATATTGTTTTGGTTTTCAAAAACTTATATTTTAGCAGATAGAATTTGAACAATTGAAAAGCTAAAACAAAGATTTAGAAAGTTTCAAATTTATGCAAAGTTATATTAAAAGTAAACTGCTGTACATTAAATATAATTGCTTATTTTAGAATATTAAAGAACTCTCGGGCAAAACAAGAAAAAATTCAAAAATCTAAATTTAAGAGTGATAATATTTACTTAATTGCCTATTTATATTTTCTCACCAGAATCTGATATATTTTCACACAGAATCTGATATAGTTTTACACCAGAATCTGATATACTTTTACACCAGAATCTTATATATTTTTACACCTGAATCTGATATATTTTCACACCAGAATCTGATATATTTTTACACCAGAATCTTATATATTTTTACACCAGAATCTGATATATTTTCACATCAGAATCTTATGTATTTCTGAAATATTTATCAACAGAATCTGCAAATTGTAGTTGTGTGTGTGAAGTCGAGTCAAATAACATAAAACATTAAGATCGATATCTTTTATTTTCGGCAAAACAGTAGTTTAAATTTACCCTATAGAGACATTGCCAAACTTACCGGTCTCCCCCCCCCCCCGTTATCGCGAGTATGGCTTTCATTTAATTTTTTAAGAAACAAAAAGTTTAAAAATTCAATATGGATTTTCTTAACTTCTGTTAATTAACAATTTCTTATTTAAAATGTTTGCTGAAACTAATAAGTTAAAGTTTAAATGAGTTTCTACTTCTTCATAGTTTTTAAAACTAAAAATTATGCAGAGACCTAGCTTAACTTTACCCTTCTGGGGAAATTATGAAATTAAACTTTTTGATATTTTATAAAAATCTTGCATATATATATATATATATTTAATAGTTTAACGCCTCAACCTTTCATGAATGTATGCTAAAAAACTTTCAGATATTGCTTTTAATATTTTTCAGGCTTTGAATATTTTTTATTTAATATTATTTATTTGAATATTTTTAGGGTATAATCAAAATTCGAAGTTTTAATTATAATCTAAAAAACTTTTAACACGCAGTACAATCGATTCTCTCCCCTTCTCCCTACAGTTGCAATTATTTATTTTACTTTTTACACTTTTAAATATAGCAAATGAGTTTCCAGTATCTATATTTCTAGCAACTATATCTGCAGCTTGAACTTGGCCGGGCTTCAAAGCTAATAAATATTATTTCAGTGGGAACTGCTGGAATCATACTGCAAGCACCCACACTTTATGATACAAGACCTGCAATAGATGAAGAGCTATCAGAGATCGAGATCACACAAATAAAACCTGATATTCCGATAGATTATCCTACTGCAGAGATAGATTCAATTATCTAACTCTGATATTCCAATAGATTATCCTACTGCAGAGATAGATTCAATTTTCTAACTCTGATATTCCGATAGATTATCCTAATACTGAAATATATAAAATTATCTATCCCTAATATTTTGATAGATTATCTTATTGCAGAGATAGATTCAATTTTCTCTCCCTTGAGTTTAAGCACCATTAGTAAAATTATTAAATGGTCCTGGGAAAAATGCTCAAACTGGATTTAACACATAAAAACTAACCATCGAAGTTAATTTTTTTCTCAACATGAAAAAGGATAATTTCATCAAAATTAAACAGTTTTGTAAAATGGTCGCTAAAAAGACTTGTATCAAAAAAGATTCCAATAATGTTGAAAAAATTCAAGTTTTACAATTACTTCATGATTCCCTAGTAATGTGCATACATGGTTGAAAGTTAAATTTTGAAATTTTTTAATCATTCTTCTCAACTACTTGTTTATGTGAAAACTGTCTGAAAATATAAAATGTATGTATATTAAAATCTAAACATCTATACGCTCGTCATAATTTGGGAAAAGTTTAGATATGAATAAAATAGTATATTTGTATTTCTACATTTCAAAAAAGATTTGTTAAAAAAAAGGAGAAAAAACTCTTGCCTTCTTTGTCTTCCTGGATCTATGGAGTTTGAATATATTTAAAAAATCTAATTACATTAGAAGAAATTAATTCAAATTTATGTATTAGATAATTAACTATTTACATTTAATATTTTCAATAATGAAGACATTATTCAAATAATATTTCAATTATATTTTAAATTAACTTTATCTGAGGCCGAATTTAAAGAATTTGAGCTGCTTCTCAAATTTTAGACGTGGCTCAAATATTGTTGGTTGAAATTTTAATTAGCGTTTCAATATTTGAGCCGGTACTCTTTTGGAACCGGTTTTTGGCGGTTTAGTATACGCAGTTCATATTCTTTAAAGTTCCGCCTCTGAAGACAATATATGTAAGATTTAAAAAGCCTAAGGATTTTTCTAAGATTAATACGATTTTCTGTGAAGCAAACTGGTGAAATTGAAAAGTAAAGACAGGGAAAATGGTCAAAAGAGAAATTCGAATGTTTTGCAAAAATTTAAAATTAAAATCATTGAATTATAATTTGTAACAGAAGTTGATTTTTAGTGATAATAAGAATATATTCATATGAAAAAAAATAAATTCCAAGTTCAAATAAATGATTATTTATAAAATTGACATGAATATTATTTTTTTATATGTACAGGGTTACCCACAAGGTATTGAGACTGTAAAGACGACTTAAAACTCATATAAAGTTAAAGTCTTTGTATGAACTAAGTTCAATAATGCGTAGATGAGGCAGGAACCTAGTGTAAACCAGGAAGAATATCTGAACTGTACTTAAGGAAGGAGTTGGAGAATATACTTCAGTTCCGCATACCATCTAGCGGGGTTCACATACACTTTATATTCGGCAATGTTTTTATCAATTGGAATAAAATATACCATAATAATAGTATCTTCAGTTGTGCTAGTTATGCATTTAGGTACCTTCCCACCTACCAGACTCTTGTCGGGTATATCTTCTGCCTTGAATTTAGTTTTTTATGGCTTATTTATTGGTTTGGCACAGAAGAAACAAGTGTACAGTTGCAGAAAACCAAAAGACCGTGTAAATTGTGTACAGTCGTCTCTGAAGTCTCATCCTTTATGGGTAACCCTGGATGTATTTTGTTTCAATTTATATTTTTACTGAAAACTCCTAAATAAGAGAATTGAAACATTAACAGGGCACAGTATGGGTTCTTGCAGTGGAACTTTACCAACCAGTAGATTCCCAATTGTCACAAAGGACATTGTATTTATAATTCTTTTGAAAGTTGAAAAGAACACTCTGTGGTTCTAAATCTAATACAGATTAAATTTGCCTACATTGTAACATGAAACATCTCTCTTTGTCCAAATAATACATTTTAAACATTCTAGAGTAGTAACTACTGCGTTAACTTTTCACTGTTTCAACCTCCAAACTTGATTAAAGTTTTCATTCAACACTTCTTTAGATCCTTCACTCCCATCACTCCTTTAGATCCTTTACTCCCATCATTCAACACTCCTTTATATCCTTCACTCCCATCATTCAAAACTTCTTTAGATCCCTTACTCCAATTAATCAACACTCCTTTAGATCCGTTACTCCCATTATTCAACACTTCTTTATATCCTTCACTCCCATCATTCAACACTTCTTTGATCCTTTAGTCCCTCATTCAACACTCCTTTAGATCTTTTACTCCCATTCAACACTCCTTTAGATCCTTTACTCCCATCACTAAACACTCCTTTAGATCCTTCACTCCCATCATTCAACACTCCTTTATTTAGATCCTTTACTTCCATCATTCACAACTCCTTTAGATCCTTCACTTCCATCATTCAACGCTCGATTTGATCCTTTACTCCCATCATTCAACACTCCCTTAGATTCTTCACTCCCGTCATTCAACACTCATTTAGATACTTTACTCCCATCATTCAACGCTCCTTTAGATTCTTCACTCCCGTCATTCAACACTCCTTCAGATCCTGTACTCCCATCATTCAACACTCCTTTAGATCCTTTACTCCCATCATTCAACACTCCTTTAGATCCTTTACTCCCATCATTCAACACTCCTTTAGATCCTTTACTCCCATCATTCAACACTCCTTTAGATCCTTCACTCACTCATTCAACACTTCTTTAGATCCTTAACTCCCATCATTCAACACTCCTTAAGATCCTTCACTCCCATTATTCAACACTTCTTTAGATCCTTCACTCACTCATTCAACACTCCTTTAGATCCTTCACTCACTCATTCAACACTTCTTTAGATCCTTCACTCCCATCATTCAACACTTCTTTAGATCCTTTACTCCCGTCATTCAACACTCCTTTAGATCCTTTACTCCCATCATTCAACTCTTCTTTAGATCCTTCACTCCCATTATTCAGCACTTCTTTTGATCCTTTCAGGGCCCTTCTCGCCCCTCTTTCTTTAGATGATTTTAGCTTTTATTTTTTCATGTCAAATAACTAGATTTTACTGTCAAATGCTTTTCTCAAGTCCAACTGTGCAGTTACCAAAGCATCGCTGAACTAAAAGAGGTTAAATAATTGCCAAGGTCCGGGGTCAAGCAAAAAGGAACAGGCCATTTGAAAAACATTGTTGGCTTGTTTAGGTTGTTATCTGAACAACTTTTAAAGATCCATTCATTTATTCCATTTTGATTTTAAGAATTAGCATAGGAATATTTAATCTATTTCTTTACATCAACTAAATTAACTATTGAGAGATTGTTAATGGATATTTTACAATAAGTTAACTGTGGATATGTGCTGAGCGACAGGTCAGGTAAGAATATGATACAACAACAAAAACAAAATATACAAAAAGATCCAAAATATTTACAACCACTGTACTGACAGATCACAGTGGTCATGAAGTAATAAAATAATCTCAGTAATTTTTTTTGATCTATTCGTTTTGATCTTTTGAAAAACGAAAAACAAAAGGACGATATTGAAAAGGTATTATAAAAGGTATATCGTTAACGATCGTTCTCAAACGTATGTTTGTCATTGAAGATCGTCTAAAAGCTACTTTTCTTTTCAAAAATGATCCTTTCGTTATTTTTTTTTCTACATTCAACAAAGCAATTATTGCGATTTTTACTCCTAGATCTGTTTTTGTTTATCTTGATGTTCGAATTAATAAATAATGTATACTTAAACTTTGTGGCAGAGAGAACAAATTATCTTTTTTCCATCTCATAATCTGAGTTCGTTTCCCTTATGTCCATTTGACAGCCCAAATTCTTATTTTGAATAATCTTTTTTGTTTGTTTATTTTCTTGTGATTTTTAACAATTTTTTTATTTTTTTTATCGATTTTGATGGTATTATATCGTTTGAACTGACGAGGGTCAACCTAGACCGAAATCTCTTTTCAATAAATGTGGAACTAACATCTTCTTTTTTACTCTACAGAGGTTTGGTCCATCACCATCGCCGAATTTTAAATATAAAGAAGTAGTTTAATTATCCGGACCTGGTTTATTTATCCGGACCTGGTTTAATTATCCGGACCTGGTTTAATTATCTGGAGCTGGTTTAATTATCCAGACTTGGTTTAATTATCCGGACCTGGTTTAATTATCTGTGCCTGGTTTAATTATCCGGACCTGGTTTAATTATCCGGACCTGGTTTAATTATCCGGACCTGGTTTAATTATCCAGACTTGGTTTAATTATCCGGACCTGGTTTAATTATCTGTGCCTGGTTTATTATCCGGACCTGGTTTAATTATCCGGACCTGGTTTAATTATCCGGACCTAGTTTAATTATCCGGACCTGGTTTAATTATCCGGACCTGGTTTAAACCTTAGCTTGTCTTTCATTCTTAAAAGCAGATGTTTTATAAATAGCCAAAAGTTTTGAGAAAAATGGGTTCATTAGAAAACTTGTGATAGTGTAATTAAAAACTTAATCATTCTTTCTCATTACTGAACACTGAACACTGAACACTGAACACTGAACACTGAACACTGCACACTGAACACTGAACAATGAACACTGAACACTGAACACAGAACACTGAACAATAAAACACTGAACACTGAACACTGAAAACTGAACAATGAACACTGAACACTGAACACTGCACACTGAACACTGAAAAATGAACACTGAACACTGAACACTGAACACTGAACACTGAACACTAAACACTGAACACAGAACACTGAACAATAAAACACTGAACACTGAACACTGAACACTGAACACTGAACACTGAACACTGAACACTGAACACTAACTATAATCAGATATGGACTATAATCAGATATGATCTATAATCAGATCTGAACTATAATCAGATCTGAAGGGGAATTGTAAGCAGTTCTTAACCATCAGATAGATGATAAACTTTTTTATTAGCATTTAGAGTAAAAAAAAACTTTCATAATATTATTAAAAACTCATGTCTCCTAATAGTTTTTCCTTGATGATTTTTTGGTTTAAAAGAGTAATATTAGATAAAGAGAAAATTCAATTGAAAAGGATGTTTGAACTCAAAATATAAAAAAGATGAGTTTCCCGTATGTGTCCCCCCCCCCTTCCCCTCCCATACCATTTTATAAACTACTTTTCCCTTTCCTGTCTGGAATAAGAAATTTCAAGTTTATTAAATAAGACAAATCTCTCAACATAAATAAATCTGGGTAAAAGAATACTTAAGTAATAAAGAAAAAGAAAGGTTAATGTATTTTGTAGTTGTTAGTGGAACACTTTGACCCATACTTCACGTTTTATTTATAATCCTTGAGTTTAGTGGTTGTACATATAGTTGAACTCGGTATACATGGAATGCGTGACATTTGTTATTTGAATTGGTATATCTATTTATATCTATTTATATCTATTTATATGTTCGCTATAAGCTGTTAAAATAACTGATCCAAGTAGGCTGGGTTTTGTTATATGGAACCCATGAATGACAAAGGCTAAATATTTTGAAATTCCACAGGCAACGGCAAAATCCTGATAATTAAAACCAAGCGCGGGTAAATTTAGATTTTTCAAAATCCGCGAAAAAAAAACGATTAAAGAACAATTATAAGCTAAATAGCAAATGGGCGCTAAGAACTCTGGAAGCCTAGTAGAATATAC